GCTATCTTCTGTGTCGTACTCACATTGTCGTTATCCGCTATGTCATACTCACTTTGTCGCTATCCGCTATATCATACTCACTTTGTCCCTATCTGCTATGTCATACTCGCTTTGTCGTTATACACTGTCATATCCTGAGTCCACATTCCTGAGTCAAGTTCCTGCCATGTTTTATGCTAAACTAGATACAGACATGAAGATGTAATTGGCTGAAATTCTGGGGGAAGCCAGAGTGAAAAAATATTGCATGTAGCGTATATGATAGGGGTGCATGTTTCTGGCAACACCTACTCAGCTACAACTGAAATAATGGTGATGATTGCATTGGATGATTAGCCATTTTCTTCTTGCGACTCGGTTTTCACTATTGGGATGCACTGTAACATACAATGCTGTATTCAAACCTGTCTTGAGTAAATTTAAAAGTATATGTTGTTTTTTGTTAGATCAATAGATCTGAATGTATAGTACTTTTTACTTAAATACTATACATTCAAATCTTGTGTAGTACTTTACCGGATGACTTTCACTTGTACTTGAGTAGCATTTTCGTGTGGTATGTGTACTTTTTCTTAAGTATGAAAAAGTATTTTTTCCACTACTGGATATACTCTCTTGAACATTTATACTATATATACTTCCAGTCTAAAATCTAAATACTACCCAGTACAAATGTCACACCCAATCGTCCGATCCTCCTGTGTTCCATGCCCCCTCATTAACTTCATGTGGAATCCCTGCATTTACCAGCTGTTTTCAATCCTGTGTAATTGAGTCTCGGTATTTAATTCCACGTCCAAGTATGTTTCATTGACGTTGTTTGCCGTGTTTTGCCTCGTTTGCTTGTTCGACTTAATAAACCCCGCATTCCCGGCTCTCTGTTTCCCTGATCCTGATTCCTCGTTCCCTGCTCACCCGACAGCGGTCTGTCAAAAACCAATAGCACTAAAAGAAATGACAATTTTTATTAATTTTATTGACTGCATAGAGAACATTTTAAGGTGTCTCTTTAGTCACAAAAATCATTAAAAGGTTTCAAAAGCTATTACATTTGCTAGAGTTTGAAATGAATGAATCCTATTCTTAAATGCCATCATTTTTACAGTTTACTGAGTTTTCCTTTGGTCAACTCTTTCCAATGTGTCATGCATGTTACATTTATTGACGTAAATTTTTCACATCCATTCAGACCAGGCTTTGGAGGAAAGTTCTGTGAAGGCTTGGCGCGCTCGTACAAACTTTGCAACACCGAGGACTGCCCCAAAAGTGGGGGCGACTTCCGGGCTCAGCAGTGTGCCCAGTTTAACAGCAGACAATTTCGTGGCTGGTTCTACAAGTGGAAGCCTTACACTAGAGTCGAAGGTACTGCTACACCATAACCTGGAAAGTATTGAAATGAACGGCATAATTATCCTGCAGGCACTATAAACACAAAACTTACTTTTTATTAGTGTCAGTGCCTTAGATCAAAAGGTATCGCCTTTTCTCAACTCATGCCCAAATCGTTATTTAATAGTACTTAGAGGATTTTATATCCATTATACTGTCATAATGTCGTTACTGTTCATGTACTCTCGTGTCATTGGGGCAGGGGGTTTCTCAGCAGTTTAGGACTCATGATTGGCAGGTGGAATCCCAGGCCAAGCAGACTGATGCCATCATTTGGCCCTTGAGCAAGGCCCTTTAACCCCCAGCCGCTTCAGGGACGCTGGACGCTGGCCAACCCTGCGCTGTGACCCCCAATCTTGCTCATAACCATATATATATATATATATATATATATATATATATATATACACAGACGCTCCTCTACTTATGAATGAGATACATTCCGAACGGCCATTCTTGAAATGTCCGTAAGTCATTATTCAACATCATTTTAAGTGTATACGCAAGTACTAAGAACTAGGATGCTGGGAGTATGTAAGCTATGCTGCTGCACGGCGGGAGTAGCGGCCAGAAGGCGTACTAGGCGGAATTGGTGCAGAAAAAAAAATTGATGTTGCGGACAGGAAACGGGAGCCCATTGACCACAATTTGGACTTACAGTCCTCTTCGTTTGTATATCTGAAAGTTCATAAGTTGGAAGTTCGTAAGCAGAGGAGCGTCTGTATATATATAAGCAAGATGAGACAGGCAAAAAGAGAATTTTCTCATGGGGAAGAATGAAGTATCTCTATTCTACAAAAGGCATTCATTATATTGTCATAAAGCAGCTCTCTATTCCTTTGTCTTTTGACCCAGACCAGGAAGTTTGCAAGCTGTACTGCTACGCTGAGGGCTTTGATTTCTTCTTTGCCCTGTCCAGTAAAGTGAAGGATGGGACCCTGTGTTCTCAGGACAGCTCGAACGTTTGTATTGATGGCCTGTGTGAGGTAATCGTCCACACATGGGACCAGATAAGGGGTCATTTTATTATTGAACTAAAATGGGGTGAATTGCAATAACAAAAGCATATAAATTGAATTTCTCAAAACAAACATGCAAAGCTCAGTCTCCTGTTGGTTAGCTGATAATGTATTAAGCTAGCTAGTGCTCTGTCTTAGCGATTGCATTTTCCTTTGCAGAGGGTAGGCTGCGACCATATTCTGGGTTCTAATGCAACGCTGGATGCATGTGGTGTCTGCGAGGGAAACAACTCTTCATGCAAGACCTACGAGGGCCGATACCTGAAGCAGCACTACACAAACCGTACACACACCCCTCTCATTCTCATTTATCAGATGATGTACTTCAGCTGATGATATGTGGAATCTTTCAGTGATTGAGTATTTCATATCGTTGGTATTCATATGTTCTTCTGCTAGTTCTGCCATTTGATGGCCTGTAGCATTTCAGCATCTTCTCACTTTTGTGGGGAAGCTGATTATGGAACTCAGACCTTTGGTTTTAATTTAAGCAAAACTGAATAGTAGTATTAAGTTACTCGCAGAGCTCAGGTTCCCTTAAGAGATGACAGATGTATGAGATACCACATCCACTCGATCCAGATTGGCTGATAACATGCCATATTGGTGAAGACTTCTCTGATAATTCATAAATATGGCATCATCTGCACTATGGGAGGACCACTGTCAAACATGATAACCAGCGCAGAACCAGTGAATTACATAAGTGTTGGTCATGTGACATATCTCTCGGCTTAATGCTCACCACATGCATTCACCAGTCCCAGTCAAGGACTAAAGGTGGAATTCCTGGACCCTCAGAGCCAAGTCATTACCTCTTTCTGATTGGATGAAGCCAGTTCTCATAAATGCATCAGTTAAATGCATTTAAATGCATTTTTACAAGTCAATACACATACCATCCAGGATGTCCCCTGGCTCAAACCCTGTGTTTTCTGAGATCAAAGCTAGTGAAATGAAGCAGTTATAATGGATGGATGGATGGATGGATGGATGGATGGATGCATGGGCGTCGCCGCCATTAAATCTAAGGGGGACGTGTCCCCCTCACATTTCATAACTATTAATTTGGACCCCCCCACATTTAACATAAAATATGCTTCTGACGCCCCTGGATGGATGGATGGATGGATGGATGTAGTTGTGACATTGGAGTAGAAAGGGCATTTCCTTTGTTTTCAGTGCATCATTATAATTCATTTTAATTGTTTATGTTTCTTTACTCAAGCAGAGTATTACAGCATTGTCACCATACCAGCGGGAGCGCGCAGTGTCCATATCCTGGAGCTGAATACATCAAGCTCTTACTTGGCTGTGAGGACCTCAGATCAAAAGTATCACCTCAATGGACAGTGGACCATCGACTGGCCAGGAAAGCACGCTTTTGCTGGAACGTTTTTTGACTACAAGAGGCAGTACAATCAACCAGAGACGCTCACTGCTACAGGTCCCACCAACGAAACCTTGGTTGTTGAGGTTGGTTCATGCAAACCAGCTGATTTGTGGGTTAACATAAATGGGAGAGTTTACCATGTTATAAGGCTTAACAGTGCAGCCATGGAGAAAAATCCAATAATGAAACAATATTTACCAGTAAACAGCAGTGGTAAGTTTTTAGAGTAATCCAGTTTAAAGTAATCCAGTTTAAAGTAATCCAGAATCAGCACAACAAAGCAAGAATTAGTTCAAGCAGTCAATGAGCATTCATACTACCATTTCAAGATGTAAATGTACTACCAGGCCGAAGCAGCTTTAAGATTAAATTAATACTTATCTGCAATCCTCACTGTCATACCGTGCAAAATAATATTTATCAGCAGTATGTACAAGAAGTAATTATAAGCAATGTGTTTTAGGATTAGCAGTTATCAATCAGATTCATTATCAGTGGTTTTAATCGGTTGTTGTTGATAGTTCCACAATTTTAACCAATCCTAATTTTGCATTACATATTTCAATTAATTATGCTAATATGTCTAAATTTGATGCAGTTAAATAACTGAATGCTGCTTTGATTAGTGTCTTTTATTTAAGGTATTTTAATATGGCCTCAGCTGTGTGCCTGCAATGTGTGCATCTGAATTGGTTTTCCTCCGACATTCAGGCTTTCAGAAACACACTTTCCAAATGCCTTTCATTCTTTAATTTCCCCAGGCATGGGTACACCACGTGCCGTTTGGACGGACGGTATGCGTCCATACATGAGACGGCCCAGAACGAACATACAAATATGTCAGATTTCAGGTTTAATTTACGAAATGAAAAGCACTGCTAACACAGCCACGGCTTTTCGCTTTTATTCCAGAAATGATTTATAACGTCTGGCATGACTTTTAACAAGTGAAGAAGGAGTCGCGGACTCTCATTATCCAAGCCAGCAATGCTGCTCTGAATGCGACTCAACTGCTCATCGTCCAGGATGCCCCACTAATTAAAAGCACAATATCATGAATCCTGCCAGGCTCTTAAAATGATATGTGGTTGCAATCCACACTTAGATGTTGTGCTTGTTTTATTCCTTGTCTGACTGTAAAATTTTATTTGAAACCCCAGATCTTTATTGTTTATTGCTTGTGCTATGTTATTTCTTTCTCACTAATTTACCGGTATCAATTTTCTGTTAATGAGCACCATCGTGAAACGTGTTTTTCGTTAGAACGCGGCACCCCGGAACATCGAGGACGACTTGTTGATAATATGCTGACTGAAGGAGATGAGACCGCTGTCTGCTTTCTCAGATTCTCCTGCAGGGCCATAACCCCGGAGTACAGTGGGAGTATAGTCTTAGGAAGGTTGACGTCGATAAGAAGAATCACGTGAGACACAACTACACCTGGGCCGTCGTTCGGTCTCACTGCTCTGCTTCATGTGCAGGAGGTAAATCAAATCGAATCAGCAGTTTATATGACCAGCAGAACGGCGACATAACATACAAATGAGGCCATAGTTTACATACACCTAGGCTAAAGACTTAATGTTTCACAACTTCGCACATCAAGCTACCATACATTTCAGGTACAGTATATCAGGTAATCAGGGTATATTCTTTATTTCCGTAAGAAGTCATTTTTAAATAATAGCTAAAACACGACTTTATGTGAAATATTGAGTTTTGTGAAAGCCTTTTAGCCATGCTGTAAATCAACTTTTGGCCTCAACTGTATCTGAATGAGGGCAATCACTTCACGAAAACAAAAGTACGTTTAATAAACTTACAAGGTTGATGTACAGAAGTACAATACTAATCTATCTGCTTCTTTCCTACCAATTGGTCATGCAAGATGAATTGCCACTGGTGAAATGAACAGAAACTGTCATCTGCAGGGCGACTCCTGAAATTTATCGTGCAAGGGATGTGTTTCCACTCAGTCCTCCTTCATACATCAACAGTAATACCCTTATAAATGGTGGAATACAACTGTTTTGTTAGAAATGTCCAGGCTTAGCTTAAGTACAGATTTCTACACTACTCCTGTCATTACTGATGACTTGGGCCACTGTTGACTCTTTTAACGAGACCAGCAGTATACAATTAGAGCCCTGTAATGACCTAGGTTGAGGGTGAACAGAGGTTTGGAAGGGCATTCTATCTTACAGGTCGCAGACCTTTAGTCAGCCTTTGCCCTAATTTAGTAAATTCTCTGCTCTTGTGCTAAAGCGCTTCAGAGTTTGAGAACTTCTCATGTAACACAGCGTCATTAGGAAGTTTCGAGAGAAACGACATTAGGCTGCACCAGATGAACCTTTAATAGTTTTCTGGCAGTTTTCCTTGAGGCTCAGAAATGTTTCGGAAACTGGTCCAATACTGAAAGATTTACTGGGAGTCCCATAAATGCCTTTGTAGTTCAGTTGGGCTGTGGTTATGGGCTACCATGCTTTGCTGTTGATTTCCTCTGTGTGCAATTGTTTCAGGCCAGATGAGCACTAAGTCAGCGTGCTTCAAGGACATGAAGGTGCAGGTGAACACCTCTTACTGCAACCCCCAATCCCGGCCTGCCACTGGCCTGCTTCCCTGCAACACACAGGCCTGTCCACCCAGGTAGTGTGCACCCTCTCTGAGCTCTCTATCTCTCCATAGGAGCTTTCACACCAAAGTTCTAGACCTGCTCCTTGGTTACAATACAAGTTAGAAATTCCTGGCCACTTTCATGTGTTGCTTTCAGACCACACAACAGGAACTGACACCTTTATATTAAATAAGCATTGGAGATGCAAAAAGCTCATAGGTTAAACTTCAGAAATTACACTGTCACCCTAAAGCGATGGAGGATGACCAAGTTGTTTTGTTATTTGTTCATTTTATTTATATTTAAATTATATGACCCCTGACTTTTTTATATTTCATTATTAAATTTGGCCAGCAGGTCGAGCTTTCAGTTTCACTGAATAAAAAACAATGTACCGATATCCTGCTATTAAGCGTTGGTAAGTTTCACCACTGCACCGGCGATATTAGACAAAAGTATATTGATTATCGATTGAATATTCCAATACAGATAAATGGGTAAGCAAACAAAAAATGTATTGATTAAATGTAACTGAGGTGCAAAATTAATTCCATCTGCTGAATTTTTGCTCCGCTAGTTATATGTCTTTTCCCTATACTTCTGTGTAACTTCCAAGTTTTGGCGGCAGTCCTTGTGGTCATCAATCACTATTGTGGTGAGCATCTCCGCAGTAGTTTGTGTTTGAATGAAAAGTACCTAGTCTGGAGTAGGTACTAAAAAAGGGTTCTGGAACTGTTTTAGAGGCTCTACAATCGGGCCGAGTTCCTGCGGTGTGAACGCGACACAAATTCCTGGTTCTGGAAAAAGGTTCTGGTTCCTGAAATAAGTTCCTGCAGTGTGAAAGCACCTCATTAATTTAGGAAAGGGAATTTGGGAAATCTGCAGCAGTAATGTCTACCCCATGAGGCTTGCTATGTTTTCATTGGGTTGCCAGGTATTTCTAAGACTTATTGACTCATATATGAAGCAAAAAAACACAAGACCTGTGGTGACAGCAAAACATACACAATGCTTCTTTTCTTACACCTTGAAATTGGCCAAATTTTTTTTCTGTGCTATATCTCAAAAGTTTAGCCAACCATGTTAAGTGTACAATGGCTCAGGGTACTAAGCAGAGTAGTGATTCACACTGGTTGACTGGTATTCACTGGTCGTTCCCCAGTGCTTTCCCACACCACCGTGCGCATTTCTTTACCGCCTGCAAATGATTCTGCATGCAAAGTCTCTCCCTCCTCCACCACTACTGACTCAACTCTATTTGCATTTATATAATTTCTCCGCTGGTGGCGTAGAACCGGCCAGATCCTGGCATCACAGCTGTGCTGAAAGCAATGCAAAGCAGATTCATCCTGATAGTATACAGGACTCTGAATCAAGATTTACATCCGTGATTCCATGTGTTCCTTGTCCGAGGTACATTGTGTGCAATCATAAAATGAAGGTGCTCCAAGCTACCTGTTCACTCGTCCTTTTGCAAGCATGTTGACAACGATTAGGAAAAACGAATTGCCAATGTTTTCCCTGTGTTAAAGAAAAACCGTTTCACAGACATTAATTGTTTCCTCTTCAATCATTTGATTAGAATGTGTTCTGCTAAAGCTGTTATATAGAATTAATTGAAATAATCAAATTTGAAATTAGCCAGAGCCTCTTGCTAGCTGCAGGGGAGTTGAGGGACTGGTCCTTGTTTACAGGATGGAGCGTTTGCCTTTTCCATGAAATGCCCAGCTAGCTGACTACATTCAGGGTTCAGATCAGACAAATGTCACTCTGTCAGCATAGTTTTATTGCATCTATAGTTTCATTAAGTTCACTCATTTAAGCTTAGAAGCTGTACCAGCTAGTTTGCTAGGTACCTTGCATATTTTTTAACATATTATGTTTTTTCTTCCTGAGCTCAGTGCATTTTTCAAACAATTTGTTTGTGTGTGTGTGTGTGTGTGTGTGTGTGTGTGTGTGTGTGTGTGGTCCATGTATACCTTACCTTGTGGGGACCCAATGTCCCCACAACGTGATGAATACCTGTTTTTTTTTGTACCTTATGGGGATCAGTTTCTTGGTCCCCATATGGGAAAACTCTATTTTATAAAAATCCGTCATTGCAATGAAAAAACTAAAAATGCAAAAACTCTTGTATTTTGTTTGGTTACTTATGGTTATGGTTAGGGCTTGGTTGGGGTTAATGCTGTCATGGTTAGCAATTAGCATTTTTCCCATAAAACTGAATGAGCAGTCCCCATAAAGATATGATTACACGACTCTGTGTGTGTGTCTGTGTCTGTGTGTGTGTGTGTGTGTGTGTGTGTGTCTGTCTGTCTGTACTATTTTACCACAGTGCATGGCTCAGCAGGTTAGGATGCACTTGTTCCAATCCCAGGGCAGCAGCGTGATGTCACTGTTGGGCCCTTAAGCGAGACCCTTAACCCTCAATTGCTCCAGGGACTGTCTGACTCTGCTTTCAAAAAATGTCTTTGGCTAGAAGTGTCTGCTAAAATAAATAAAAATAAATATTTAGAAAAGCAACAAGATACACAAATATGAAATCAATAAACTGTTCCCAAATAAAATAGCATGTGGATTATAAGACAGCCTTTACTTTTTTCTTTAATGTATAGCATCTTACAGCTCTTTTTGTTTAATTTTATTGCTTTCATATGTATTTCCCCAACATTGCCTTACTATTAGCTCTCAGTACACAAGCCAGCACACTTTTGGTTAAATTATTTTAAGCCTGTTTTTATTGGTTCAGCTCGTACATAGCTTTATGGCTTTAGGGTGGTAGATCTCTTTATTTACACGCATCAACAACGGAGACACGAATCAGTGAGCATTCCGGCTGCTGCGGCCAGGTTGGGCGTAGGGGTGGGGTGTCGGGCCGAGCTGCTGGCTCTCCCCGCCGAGTTCAGATTTCTGCAGTGAGGTAAAGCCATGGCAGATCACCAGCTGTCTGTCACCAGCTGCCTGCCTTTTAGGACAGAAGATTCTGGAAAAGAGTGCAGCTCTGAGGTGTCAGGTTACCCCACATCTAGGCCTCAGGACTCCAAACACAGCTTCTCTCCCAACCCCCCTTTCACCTTCTGTCCTCAGCTTGATGTTTCGGAACTCTTCCTAAATGATCTCCTTTTGCATATCAAACTTTCTGCACTGGCTTTGCTATTAAAATAGGAATTCGAGGTGCAGAGTACTTTCCCAGCTTTGACAGAAGACAAAGCCCACGCAAAAGAAGAAAACTGTTTACAATTAAACACGCCTGTGACCTAGTAATGAGCAGAACTGCTACTTTGGGTCCATTGCTTCTTGTACACACATGTCCACTACTCAGTAGACCAAGGATCTCAAACATAAATAATCTGGGGGCCCCTGAATAGGCAGCCATCTCCCGGGGGGGCAACCAGAGCTATTTTTGAGCCAAAAGTGAAAAAAGAGAGAGAATTAAAATCAATGTAACATCAATAATCTGGTAATCGGCACGTGGAGCAGTCAGCTTTTCCTTTGCTAGTACACACATTTCTGTCTGCATTAAAACACGATTAGCCTGATAACCTTATTAAAACATGGGGGCAGTTTTCAGACGTAAGAAGTCATTGTGATTGTACATGCAAGGAAAAAAACTCTTTGGCTCACACCTAATAGCTGCATCAGTAAACAACAACAAAGATGCATGACAAATAAAATTTGACAATCAATAACATGTGGGTAGAATATACCATATGAATAAGATGTAAAATAACAGGACAGCATATACACATATGCATATATACACATATAATACACATATATAATCAAATAATGTTTATCTCTCACACCTACCCTGGGGTCAAATTGACCCCAATGGCACATGTGTTATGACTTCTGTATGTATATGTATGCATGTACACATGTATGTATATAGTGGCAAATGTATAAACAAGTTCCTGCCTCACAAGCCTGGTTGTCTGGCTCCGAATGAAAGCGTTGGTTCCACTTCCCTGTAGGGGGGTGATGCCAAGGTGTGGCACAGGGAAATGCACAATTGCTACAGGACAGGCATTTGGACGAGTCCCAAGTGTAATGCAGTCAGTCTTGTTTTTCACCGTTTACCCCAGGCAGACGTCAGACGAATCCTCTTTCAAGCTCTTCAATAAGTTTAGACTGGCGTGGACGAGGGCCAGGCAGTCTCATCTGATAGACGTAAATAAATTTATGTGGGCTGTAGTTGTTGCTTCACGTCACCTCAGAAAAGGGGCACATCAGTGCTGGTTTTCTTCAAGAAATAGAACGCGAGAAATAGAACGCTGGAAGGTAGCACTTCTCACGTTACAGAAATGTGAAATATGTTGATGCATTTGAATCCTGTACGATTTCCATCGTTGTGCGTTTCGTTAGTACAGGCACCAACAGCTTGTGAATTCTGTTTCCATCCTATAATGTCTGTGTGTTTTTGTCTGTGAAGTATTAATAGTATAGTATCTGTGCAGTTTTAAACTAAAAGTTTTTAAATTGACAAATAAACTCATGATATGGATGATTGGATCAGCTAAGCAGATGACAGGCTGTGGAATGCCATAAGATGCACTTTTGCTTTGTCGATAGCTGTTAGCACAGAATGTTGTTGTATGACCATCGATAATCTAAATATATCATAATTTCATGGTGGGTTAGAAGTGACTGAATTTGAATTCATTAATTAAACCTGCGTTAATGACTGCATATTTCCATATTTAGTTAGTGGATAAAACTTCACATCCTCATTATGCCCCAGTGTGTGGACTCAGTGGCTCTGCGGTTTGTTTACTTTGTATCTATCCAACCAGTTGTTTAAGGTGACAGTAGGGGCCTGGGGACTGTCACCGACAGCAAAGGACACACTATGGATGGGATGCCAGTCCATCACATGGTAGACATATGCAATTTAGAGACACCTAAGTGCATGTTTCTGCATGGTGCAAGAAGTACGTTTTGAACCCTTAACTGTGGAGGCATCAGGCAACAGTGCTGTCAAATGAGCTCCAATGTCCCTCTCCATAATATGGAGGTTTGGACTCTATGGCCATGATCAGAAGGTTGCTAGTTCAAATTCCGTCGTTTGCAGACTGACTTGAGCAAGGCCTCAGTTGCTCTAGGGGCTGTCTGGCCCTGCTTTCTTATTTGTACGTCACTTAGCATAAAAGCATGTGCTAAAATGTAATAAGGTATATGTCAATATCGTCATTTTCCCACCACTTCCACTAGGCAGCATGCTGATTAGTCCATACCAGACATCTTTTTCCAAGGCAACAGACTCTACCTCATTTTGGGGGATCCCTAGAAGTTCCCAAGTTAGCTGGCAGATATAATCTCTCAAGCATACCCCGGGTCTGACCTGAGGCCTCCCTTGGGAGCTATCCAGGTGGTGCCCTTATAAGATGTCCAAACCACCTTGGCTGACCCTACTTGATCCAAGGAAGCAGCGACTATTTCAAGGTCCCTCCTGATTTCTGAACCCCTTGACCTGTCAGGAGGAGTGAGTCCGGCAACCCGAAGGAGAAACCTCATCTGAGACAGCTGTATTTGCAATCTTGTTCTTCTGGTTTTTAACCCACAGCTCAAAACCATAGGTGAGGATAAGGATGGAGACTGATCAGTAACATGTTAAAACTTTCAGTTTATCAGCACAACACCCACAAATCTGCAGTCGCTTAACTGGTCCACCTGTCATGTTCCCTCTTACTATCATCCATGAGCAAGATCCCAAGCCTCTTCCATCCGTGGCTGTGCTTTGATATCATATTCAGGGAAATCATGAACAAAAGTGGAAACTAGATGCATCTTTGATGGAGGTCAGCACAATCATCTTTCTGTATAGCCCCTCCAAACTCCTCCCAAAGCTCCCAGCTTTGCATCTTTTACTGCCTTTTGCTGCAGTCTTTCTGGTCTGTTGATGTCTTTCAGTTGTCTCTGGAGACCCTTGTGTAAGCATTGCCCTGAAGGTCTCCTTCCTAAATTGTCCACAAGCAGGTCTTAGGGTTAAAATCATAAAAGGCATCTGCTGTCTTCTATTGATGCTGCCTTTACAGTTGCTCCAACAATTCAGGCCTTGAACATAGTCCATTCTAACTCAATGTGCTCAACCTCACTTACCACAAGGTAGAAACTTTTTCAGATATTTGGGTCCAATTCTTCAGCCTGATGTTCCCTGGGAACCTGGACCACTTGTCTAGGTCTTCCTAGTTCATCACGCCTCTGTATGCACTGAATCCTTCTCATCGCCAAGTGGTGATTGGCTGATGTCTGTCAACCAAATGCTCAATAGTCAAGATAGTTGACATGACTATTGAGTCAATAATTGACTCTTTGGCCTGGGGTGCTCCAGTACCATGTATACTTATGAACATGCTCATTTGATATGGGTTTGTTAGGGACAATCCTTAGCTTGCACAAAAGTTCAATAGTAATTGACCACTTGGGTTTAGATCTCTGAGGGGATCCTCCTAATCATGCCAATCCAGGTATCCACACTGTTGCCTTCATAAGCATTGGGGGCAGCATGTGGCTCAGTGGGCTAAGTCTGTGTGCATGTAATCAGAAGATCACCAGTTCAATCCCAGTCTCCACATGTCTGCAGGTCCTTGAGCAAGGCTCTTAACCCCCAGCTTCCCTGCATGCCCCAACAGGTGGTTGCTCTTCACAGCCAGCTTATTCTGTAAAGAGCAAGTTGGGGGAGGCATAAAGACAATTTCCCCACAGGGATCAATAAAGTATCAATTATTATTGAAGTTTTCCAATAGTACCACAGTCGGTACCCTTTTAAGAGCCTCAACCACTTTCCCCAAGAAGGCTGGAAGCACTTTTCTAGAACAATCAGAGCTTTGCCTAGGATTTGTGAATGTCCCAGTACTCGCCTAAAGTCTTTACATTTGAACAGTGAAAATTAGGATTTTGGCACCTTGTTCATTTGATTTCCTCTGCTAGCCCCTGGGGAATTTTGGGTAGGGAAAGTGTAAAGCACTATGAGACAATGTAATGTGAAAATGCGATATACAAATTGAATTGAATTGAATTTAATTGAATTGAATTGAATTGAACCATGAAGAACTTCAGGTTGGAGAGAATTCACCCCCGATAAAAAGAATACTGAGTGTATTTCTATTAAATGTTATTTGAGTAACATGCAAATGTATAAAATCTCAGTGTGTGCAAGAACTTTTGACTGGTAGTGTATCTCATACTGTATATCTCTCCACCAGGATTTTCCGGTGGTAATGTATATGTCGACACACATAAATAAAATTCACATCCGGATGCATTGTGTGGACATGAGGATGCACTGCGTGCATTTTTTCTTATTACAGATTTATAAGATCTAATCCTAATATTACACATTGTTTATAAGGATTATGGGGTCTCTTATGAGGGGGGGAAAAAAACGCTTACGTTTTATAATGAGAGCGAATGCATGTGTGTGAGCCAGTAACACTTTAATATTAGTTATGTCTGCGCCGGCTGGACGTCTGACTCCGCTATACATCATGAGCTATAAACAGAAGCACAGCGGAGCAAGCTGAGCCGTGGTGGAAGACCTCCAGACCTCAAATATAGACCCAGGATGAGCTGTAAAAGTGCACCCGATATATTACCTGACAGACGCGTTTCAGCATTTCGGGCAAGTCATGTGCTCGGCAAAAACAAATAACAGCAAGCCTAGAATGGCTAAAAGGGCCGTCTGAAAGCCCAGCAGCTGGAGCAGCGTGGACACGGCCGCGCAGACCGAGGGGTCGCATGAGGATATGCACTTTTTAAGACTCGCCGTCGCTGCTACCCCCACAGACACATATACTGAAAAATAAGTAATAAAAAGCTCGCGTCGTACCGCTGTGTTATCCTCGCCCTTTTTCGCAGAGCTCACTGTAAGCCAGCTGCTGTCAACAACACGCTCGCACTGCGACCCCCTTGGCCGGGTCTGCAGACAGTGGCGCGACACTATTGACATCTGGTCAGCAGCGCAGCCCAGACGCCTGCAGTCGCATTGTATGCAGCAGTTAGCAAGCGCGTGGCACGTCAGGCCGATGCCCATTTTCAAGGTCACTACTGAGTGGGATTCATCTCTGTAGAGCAGTGTTTTACAATCTGGTCCTCAGAAGCAAGTGAGGACTGTCTGGCCGGGAGCTCATATGGTGGGCCCCCGAGGATCCAATTGAGAAACACTGTTATAGAGTTACTAAGAACATGTGATGGGTTTTAGTATTCATGTTAAGTATTTTTTACATAAATAGTACCTTTTATATGGTTAATGTTTGTCAGTATTAATATATATATACTGTTTATTTTTTATTTAACGTTTACTAAGTAAGATTTTCACACTGAAGATGCCGAATGGGTTTGAGGCCACATGAATAGTAGTTTGTATATATAGCTTAATATTCAATTGTCGGTAATAATATACATAGCCTAATATTTTAATTTAATGTTTACTCGGAGAGTAAAGTTTCACATCAAGTACCCCCGATGAGTTTTACAGTTATATTTAAGCTGTTATGTCATTCATGCAAACTGACTCTCACACAGCCTATGACATAAACCCACATGTCATCAAGGTGTAAACAAGTGACAGTCTGCAGCGTCACGGAGCCCAACATTACAGACATGTCACTATTGTATAATTCCTTTCTGTTCAGTAAGTGAATGTTACAATTCATTTACTTAGCACACACTCTTATCCAAAGTGACATACATTGTAGAGTCAGCCGGTGCCTGGAGCAGCTGGGGGCCAAGGGGCCTGCTCAGTGAAATCACTCTGCTGATTCTGGGATTTAAAGCAGCAATCTTCTGATCACAGGAACAGCATCCTAACCCACGGAGCTACACCATTCAATTAAATTCAGTTAAATTCACTTCAGTTCAGTTCAGTTCACTCCACTCCGCTTCAATGCAATTCAGTTTTATTTGTATAGCACATTTTCACAACATTGCATTGAATCCAAGTGCTTTACATTGTCCCTGCCCAAAGCCCCCAGTGACAGTGGCAAATTAAAACTCCCTAGTAGAACCCCCCCGCCCCCCAACTTACAGTTGAATGTTACATTTTAATTATGTCGCAATGAATATAAAGTTGCACTGTCAGTGTCACTGTGACCTGCCTATTGTTTTAAAAACATCCCCAACTCCTCAATTCCCCTGATTTTGTACAGCTGGAGTGTGGGAGACTGGGGCACGTGCAGCCGCGGCTGTGGGGGCGGGGAGCGGCTGCGACAGGTGAGCTGCCTGCAGAGGACGAGCCAGAGCCACGTGGGAACAGTTGCCGACACCCAGTGTCCACTGCTGCAAAATCCAGTGCGCAGACAGAGCTGTAATGTCCAGGTCTGCCCACCAGGGTGGAGCGCCAGCCCCTGGTCTCAGGTGGGCAGCCTTGCCACAACTTAGCAGAAACAGTGTTTATATATCTTAATTTTTTATTATTAATACTGCAATATATACTGCCTAATACTTCAGTTTAACAGTACTCATTACGGTCCTTGATTAAAAGTACAAAATACCAACTGTCATCAGATGAATTTTACTAATTTCTAGGTGAACAAACAAGTGTAGTTATGAGTGTAATATTTAGGCAGGTAGTGTAGATTAGACACTGAGATTAGTTTTACTGGATTAATTAAGGTTAATGTGGTACACCTAGGTACCAAAACCCTAAATAGCAACCGTAAAACATGATGTTACATTTATTATAACAAGTTATACACCTGTTATTCAGCAATCATTTTAACAGATGCTTTATGTTAATTATGAATATAGAAATGCATAGTGAAAGTGACTAAAATGAGATTAGCATTATATGATTTGCAAGCCCACTGCAAGCAGTTAATGTCACTGAACAAAGCTGCCTTGATAAATGGCGGGTATAAACCATTTCTGTGTACCTAGTAGGGGCCGAGAACAGGAACCACATTGTCCACAAAGATGTCCTGTGCCAGAGACCTTAAAATATCCGTAATAATTCATAGAATTTTTATAGAGGGGTCTTGAAGGTCGCAGTGACATTCAAAGAGAATTGTCAGCTTATTCATTTCCATGAAAACTCCATCCAACAGTAAAATTACCTATTATAAAGTGTCATTTTACTTATTTTAAAGTGTTGTGTTAAAATGTTGTGTTCATGATGGTCAGCGTGTGATGAGAAGATTGTATTTCTGGTTTTCGGTTATACTTTCACTTTTTAATACTGTAAGAATACTGGCACATCTGTCGGATAAACGCGTGATCCGGAAGCCGCTGCGAGCAGATGCCTTCCTACCGTGCCCGCCATGATGTCGTCCTCGCTGCCCCTCCACAGTGCTCACGTAAGTGCGGCAAGGGCCAGAGGAGGAGGACGGTGGTGTGCAGGAGCTCAGAGCCTGGCGGCCAGGCCGGCGTGCTGCCCGACAGCTCCTGCGTGGCAGAGCCCAAGCCCAGTGCCCAGGAACCCTGTGTGCTGAAGCGGTGCCCAAAACACCGTAAGGCCCAGTGGCTCGTCTCCAGCTGGCAGCAGGTACAGGAGCCTTGCTGGGACACACAGCACAAGCATCCAAAGGAAGTTAGAAACTTCCTGAACCCAGATTAATGACAGGTCACATAAAAAAATGACTGAATCCATTTCAGCAACCGTTTTGAGTTTTACAGAGGTAGACAATGGACTTCTGTACTTGTCCATTCCTATGAATTAAGCTCATGTTTTTTAGTCCTCTATAAATTTATAAATAGTAAATATAATTGGAATAAATCTGTAAACATATTACATTTGATATATTGTAGTATTACATTATTTGATCAGATATGACTGTCCGATTTGGTTTTGTTAAGGGCTGCCCTAATTGTAGAACTCCATAATCAATATTAGAGAGCGGAAATCTGATTTTAAAATTTAAATCCATCCTTCTCAAATTTGCCATTACTTTTCATCTTTGTTTGCGTAGGATATGTTGATGTAACTGCTACCCTGGAAAGCTTATTTGTTAAATATGTTTTGTTTTAAATCCCATAGTGCTCTGTAACATGTGGGGTGGGCATTCAGAAGCGTTCAGTCATGTGTGTGGAGAAGGACGCCACTGGGAAACATAGGGAACTGCCACCGAAGAAGTGCCAGCATGTTCCAGAGCCGGTGGTGGAACTACAACAACCATGTGCTCTGGCAAATTGCCCCACCCCTGTTCAGCAACATCTCTCCCGATTGGCTAGACCTGAGTGGTACACTTCCCCTTGGTCTCAGGTGAGTTGAATTACATACATGGCACCTTTCATTTTCAGGACTTTGATGTGTATTCAGTGAAAAAAACAGACATTTAGATACATAAATAAACCAACACATAAAAACAACATGAACTTACAATAATGTGCTTTATTAGGCAATTTAGTTGTTCATACTTATGGGGATCATACTGTACAACTTCACAAATCTGAAATGAAATATATAGAAAATATATCTGTTGAAATACAAGAGCTCATACACATGTAGAAACGTAGCTGGAGCGCTGATGAGAGGTGTGGTTTGCCGGCAGTGCACTGTGACGTGTGGGGGAGGTGTGCAGCTGCGCTCTGTGCAGTGCCTGGTCCACGGCCGGCCGTCGCCCGCGTGCCACCCCCGCCTGCGGCCGGCCCCCACACAGGCCTGTAACAGCAACTTCTGCCCCAAGGCAAAGGGCATGGGTGAGCACTTTCTCATTCTCCTCTGGAATCTGGTGTCATTGGACTGGATTCAGTTTATAATGACCCATAAATTCCATACATGTAGAAAAGGCTCCGATCATCTATGTTTTTTGTAAACATTTCAGTGTCACATGGAGTGCAGCGGTTTAGTGGGTAGCTCTGTTGTATCACGTCTCCAGTGCAGGGGGCTCTACTTTAGCCCCATAATAATTTACACTCTCCCCTTGTTTAAGTGGTTCCAAAAATCCAATTTCAATCCAAAACCGAAGTTGGCCTTAAAATATCCTTAATAATTCATATAATTTTTATAGGGGTGCCCTGAAGGTCATAGTGACCCTCACTGCAAAGGTGGGCAGTTATGGTCCAGAAAGTAAAAATTCAGACCAAGATTTTTTTCAACCAGCCAGTTGAGTTCTCTGTGACTGTGACTCCTTATACTCAACTGGTTGGCTGAAACAAAATCTTGGTCTAGATTTTTATTTTCTGGACCTGAACTACCACTGCTTCTCTGTATGTAGTATATGCACATTCTCCCTGTGTTCACACTGGTTAATTCCAGGTATTCCAGATCCCTCCAGCGACATGTGGTCTATTTGAACTGGTGTCTCTAAATTGTCCATAGCATGAGTGTGTGTATCCTGTGATGGGCCGGTATCCCATGGTGTCCATGGACCTTTTGAAATAGGCTTGCTATCTTCTGAGCTGGATTAGTAGTAATCAGAGGTGGAGATGTCAGGTCCAGAGAGTACAAATCCAGACCAAGATTTTGTTTCAACCAACCAGTTGAGTACTCTGTGACTGTGACTCTTTATACTCAACTGGTTGGTTGAAACAAAACCTTGGTCTGGATTTGTACTCTCTGGACCTGATATCTCCACCTCTGATTACTACTAATCCAGCTCAGAAGATAGCAAGCCTATTTCAAAAGGGCCATGTTTACACTGGTCAGGCCCCTTGGTCTCTTGGTCTCCACCTCTTGTAGTTATGGATGATGGGTAAATAAAACACAATTAAAAAAATGCACGATACTGCATATCTGATGCTTTTGTCCATACTGATGTCATACCTGTTTATGCAGCTTGGTATTTGCAGGAGCTAAGCGTTCTCTGAGGGTGCTATAGTAGGGCCATCTGGTGGTAGTCGTCACCATGACTCTTCCTGATGTGTTGCATGTCTTTTCATTATTTGTGGTGTGTGTTTTCGCAGACGTGCCTTGTATGGACGCCTTCAAATGGTGCCACCTGGTGCCCCAGCATGGCATCTGCCATCATAAATTCTACGGGACTCAATGCTGCCAGTCCTGTTCTCGTTCAAACCTTTGAAATGGGGAGGAGATGCTCAGCAGCCTTGACAGGAGGGCAGAGGAAGGACAGTAGATTGTGTGTAATAATCCAGCATTTGAAGGCCTGGTACACATGCAGGCCCAGACATGGATGACATTTGAAATTGAGCAGACAGAGGAGAGGGGTGTCATGGAATGTTCCATGCAGGCATGGTCCACGAAGGTCTAAAAACGATGCCATCTCCTGTGCCCCCTCCTCCCATGGACCCCCCTGAGCCTAGGTCTTCAAGACAGAAGGGACTTGTAAGGTGAACGTCCTGTTCTTGCAGTACGATCGCAGGGAAACGTCCCTGAAAGCCACCCCCCCGCCCCAATTCCCAGGACACACAGTATGTTTAATTTAAGTATTTAAAGTTGCACTCATTTGTTGGGCATCAGGACCAGCGTCACCTTACAGCAGACCCTGTTCAGCGGCCGCGTGGTCATCCATGAATGCTTTCAGAGACGCCTCCCACCAACGACTCGAAACTGCTGCTTAAGCACTTTGTCTTCTTTCCACTTCGCTTCCCTAAAGCGGTGTTTCTCAATCCAGTCCTCGCTCGGGGATCCACAGCAGTCCAGGTTTTTGCTCCCTCCCAGCTCCAAAAATGTGGACTGTCCGGCATGGAGATGGGTGGGAGCAAAAACGTGGACCGTCTGTGGGTCCTGGAGGACCAGATTGGGAAACACTCCTAAACTCTCTCCTTTTTAGAGAAAAGTACTTTGATGGTCATGTCAGTTTGTATACAGCACTATACGTCTGTCCCGCCTGCTATGCAGTTTATGGTGCTTTTTATGGTGCTTCACAGTGGACAAAGAATCCAAGGTAATCCTTGCCACTAATGTATACCAAGTAACTGTTAAAAGGTATTAAAATACTGATCATCAAGGTAGACATTAAAAAATTGGTGCTTTTATTTATTAGCAGTGTTGCGCATGTATATATCATGTCATTTAAGTCACCTAACATTTAGCCATTTTCAGCATTAGAGCCAGCTGCACAGTTCTGTTGTAGTATTTATGGTAATGAGCTGACACATTTGCATAAGGAAGTACATGCATTGACAGCATTTGCAGAAAAATAAACTGTGACTTGTTTGTAAAACAATAACATGTCAGAATCGCATAACGGAGGTAGGTGCAGCCAAGCTGCCCATAATATTTGACTTGAAGAACTGTGAGATATTTTTTAATTGAACTGCATATCTTTGTTGTGTGCTTGTATTCTGGAAATGGGTACTATATTTATACTACAAGAATACTTTTGGTTCCAGTGACTTATATTCAGAAATATGCAATGTCAGAATGATTGCTTTCTCCAAATGTGTATCACAGACTAAAGATGAACAGATTACTTTATTAAATATCCATCTACATGTAGAAGTCACTAAGAAAAGAGTAACAGATTTAGATATTTTAACATCCCCTCTAGGAAGCAACCTTTGTCCAAAGCTACTATATCAAACTTCAGTCATGGAAACACATAACACATATTCTACAAACCATTGTATCACAAGTGCTGACCCATGGTTTTTTAAAACTGTAATATGTTTCTCAAACCATATTATTTCCAGATGTTGTTTTGGACTACTGGAACGTGTTCAGCATAAATATGGGCCTGTACACTTTTAATGTGCTGGAATTCTGAATGCCAATGGTTTGGGTGGTGCTGTTAAAAAAAATTAACAGTTATATTTGTTTTGCTAACTTGTATGGTAATCATAAATCATAAATGCATCTGGTGTTTTAAAAATTAATCCATTGTATTTATAGTCAAACTGTTATCAGTATAATGTGTTTAATATCCGAATGTAAGTCTATGTCGCATTCAATCTTAGGGTATATACATCAGACTTTGAATTTTGTAGTGGATGTTACAGCTGTGTGCCTCGATGTACTACTGTAGATAACTTTGACAGACCCCGCGTTTCCTATTCAGCAGTGCCTCTGGTGCTAAGGTGATCAAATATTGAAATTCACATCAAGGTTTCAAAAATCTCAAAATGCTGAAAAAGGAAAACATTGACATAAATTGAAATATTAGTTTCTTCCTCTCCAGATAATTTCCTACAAAGTGTCAAAGGAACATAGGAAGAGCTGAAGAGGCTTATTTAAAACATCAACAGTACTTTTATTTATGAACTGTATAAAGTACAACATTTTTTCATTTTAGCATATTTGAACATGTATGAATGAGTATCGAGCAGATATAAGCCGATTTCACCTGACACTGACCATGTTGCTTACCACTCATTTATATTTGAATCTAGATGCATTTAATATTATGTACAATATATGGCTATGTTAGCTAAAAACATAATAAAAGTTGCCCAATTAAATGGGAAAATCGTATTTTAACATATCTTCCTGTTGCTACCTACTTAACATCAACAGGTAACATGATCAGGTGTGGATGCATTTCACTTCTGATTCCTTGACTCCTTACTGTATACTGATTTTTTTTTCTATTATGTGCTTGTTAATTATTGATTTAGTAGACAAACTTAGCTAATAACTTACAAGCTCAGCATGCTGTTATTGTAAATTTGTTTTATTGTCTCTTTGTTAACAGTGGTCATTTTAAATATAATCATTCTATCTCTTCACCTTATGAAGGTGACATTGCCTTGCATTTTCATCACTTGGTAAATCTGAACCTGTGAAGAACTTTCAAATACACATGTATTGCTATAGCATTTTATTTCAAACAGCTGCTATGAACTATGACATCATTATTAGTATTGTTAGATACTAATTGTTTGGTTTAAATAGCCAGTCAAGCTGATAGAGAGGGATACACGAGCAGAGTGTTCACACTGGGATTAGAAAAATTTAATTCTGATTTGCAGAGATCATAAATTTTAGTCCTTCCGACTCCCAATAAAAACTGGAACTGAAAAGTGTCCTGGTGAGTCGTGGCGACATCAGAACATGTGGAGCACTTTCCCTGTTCACTGCAATTTGCTCTGGATCTATGGGGCATTTGCTGTTGTGTGGTATTTTTAGGTGGAATTCCCCTTTAAGTCTCCTTAAAATTTCTGTATTTCCCAGGCTGAATTCTAAAAAAGAAGAGAAATGTCAAAAGGCCAGACAAAAAGCAAACAACCTTTTTATATATATTTTTTATCTTAATATGCTTGAAAATAACATTTCCTACTGAGTCTGCTGTGTAAAAAATGTACTGAGAACAAATATGCATCAAGTGCATCAAGTGCCCTTTATCTATATAATAAACATACTAATCTGGGAAAAACACAATAATACATAAAATGTAAAGGACAACATATTAGTGTTTCAGTTTTTAATTTTTCAAAAGAAAATAATTATTGACTGTATTTCCAATACAATGTTTTAATAAATACATCAGTTAGTTATATGGTAACAAGAATCAGTGTATAGGATGTTGCAAGTTACAATTAATAATCTTACAATTAATCTATGTTTACTTTGCAAAGTATGTCATGTAGTTCTGCTCACAAACAGCAGAATGTGCTTGTCCTTGACATTTATTTTGGCTGTGTATGCAACTGTGCTGAGTTAGGTGTTCATGTAGAGAAAAAGTCATGAAATCTAACTCATGTGCTAATTAGATGCTGATGCAACAACAGCTAGCTGTCAGCAGATTTTTTTTGTCAACCGATCTTATCGTAGAGTTGTAGCTACATCGTGCACTGTTATGATGGCATATAGCTGGTTTTTAACTAATCACCCTTAAAAGTTAAGTCGTGGAAGGGATGACTATTTTTAATTATCTATTTAGCAAATGTTCTTGTTCAAAGTAGCTTTCAAGCAAGGCAGACGGGACATGAAAAGCATAAGTGCAGTTAGGCTGTGTTTGCAATGAGTGACCAGGAACAAGTGCAAGTTAGCATTTGAGCAAAGGCTAACAGAAGGGCTTGCAAATCAAGAACACCATGAGGACTAGGTTCCTGAGAGCCACATACAAAATACAGGAGTATCCAGTAACAGGCAAGGCCATTTGGTGAGACAGGGATTAGAGAATATCCCTAAGCATACTGCCAAACCTTAAAAAAACAGTACTGGGTATAATACATTATTCTGTAGACAGATACATCCGAGTTTAACATATGTCAGGTGTCTGCAAAATTACTCGGGGTTTACACTTTCCCCTTACAACTTCTAACTTCTAAGTTCATTACCACTGAACCTTGTGTGGCAAACCCTTTCAAGGCGGGTCAGTTTCTCTTCTATATATCAACATGGTTAAAAATAAACATGTAGCCGATCCATGCTGTTAGTGGTGTATGTCACATGTTTAATCTGCTGCACTAGAACTTGACAGGAGTCTTATTTTCTATCATTTAAACAACCTGATGCAAGATTTTCAGCTTTAATTTTTCCTTAGGAAAAATGTGAGCTTTCCAACTGGCTCTATATACTTGGGTTGGGTGTCGATTGTCATGCTGGGAAACACCACCAGGATTCGTGTTTTATATATATATATATATTGGAAAAGTGCTGCTCAATGCAAGGCCAACCTGAAAAAGGTTACAGTCCTGCTCTGCTCTGTGCAAAAATGTACGTGTGGCATTTGCACATTCTCTCTATGTTTGTGTGGGTTTCCTACGGTCCAAAGACATGCAGTCAAATGAATTGGGGACTCAAAATTGCCCATGGTGTACATACCCTGACTGGCAGTCTATCCCGGGCGTGGTTGGAAGATAGATGGCTGGACCGTGTAACCCATTAAACATGAGGAATCAGCACAATACCAAAGGAATTCCTTGGCAAAGTAACCCGAGTCCCAAATACACGAAAAAATGACTTGGAGGGTTGCTTTTATTAAACTTTATTTATTGAGAGAAAAAAAAATGATTTTGCTGTGCATCCTATTATTGTTGAAGATAAATAAGTATCAGATAGGGTTTATAATACATTTAAATCAAATTAGAAAAATCCTCTGTGTATAAAAATATTAATCATATATGGGTGTACACTGTATGGATGAAAACTTTGTGCATATTTTGTTTTCAGTAATGAAAAACACAAGTGCTTCTCAGTGATGTAAGACCCACCCTTCGTTTTCTGGCTCAATTTAAATCACATAATTTTTTTTGAGATCTTTATCAATACTGATTTACTGAGAAGTTCAGTTTAGGAAGGTGTATCAGGGAAACAATACCTTCTAAGTGGGTGTTGTAAGGAGTTACAAATGACAAACCGGCACTTTTCATATCCAGCAATTAGTAACAATGTAACTAAGTTCAGCACGTATACACTGGCATAATGTCAGAATAATGCTTTATTTAGGACTAAGTGAAGACAAAAAAATACCACGTATTAAGTCTTAATCTTACAACACGTGCAACATGTAACAGTCTCTGATGTTAACCACGACAACTATATGAAAATATAGTTTATTTGACAGTGTATGTGTAACTGAAAGCACACATAGTTTTAGCACTCAGAACTGGTATTTGGTGCATAAGCATACCCCAACTCGAAGTCGAAGGGAGGCAACCCACTCACTCGCCCGGGTGAACTCCAACGTACTGGCGCCAATCCGGAGGGCTATGAGTAGACTGACACCTGCCCAGTGTCTCACACAAAGGGCAACTCCAGAGTGGAATATATTCCAGGCCTCTCCAGGAATCTGGTTCCAGGCGTCAAGGTGAGCCTGACTATATCTAGGCTATATTTCTCTACCTTCCGCACCAGCTCTCACTCCATTCGCACCAGGGAGGTTACGTTCCATGTTCCAAAGGCTAGATTTTGTAGCCAGCGATCAGTCCATCAAGGTCCCTGCCTTCGACTCCCACGCTGCACCCGACCCCCCTGCAGGTGACCACCAAATCCTCACCAATGAGCTCCCCCACCAGGCCTGGATCCAGGACTGGGCCCTGGTCTCGCTAATCCAGCTGAATTTACTTGGTCCTTTGTTTTATCAACCATGGGGGTTTTCTGAATCACACTTTGTCTGTCCGACCACCAGTTTGCCTTGAGAGACCCTACCTGGGGAAATTGCCCCAGATAACATACCTCCTAGAATCACAGAACTGCACCACCCTCTCCATCATGATAAGCTGCTGATTCATGGAGGGGATATTGCTTTTGTATTAACGGTTAATAGACTTGCATATATTACATAATTGAAAAACATTGCAACACAATATACTTTTTACCTGTTGGCTTGGGCAAGGGCGCCCCCTACTGCGTGAGTGCTAACGTCGACATTGTAATGCAAGTTAATTTCCGATTTTATTCGCGAGTTACATACTCCGTTAAAAAGGACTCGAAAGCAAATCAATGACAGCAAGTTTTTTCCCTTAACAAGCCTGTTAAACAGTACATTTTACATTTACTTACCTCGCTTTGACTAAAAAACCAAAGACCTGCTTCTTCCTTCCCAGTTTATGCCATTTCTCAATGAATGTCATCTTATACATTTTAAACTCTAATTACGTTTCTTGGATTTTTTTTTCTAATATCAACTTCCGCACTGTCTAAGGGTACTGTCAATAATTAACTAAATAATTAAGCTATTGGCACAAGACTTTTGGTACTCCACGTAAATATGCAATGCAAAATAAATAACATAATCTCCTGCAACGACCAATATACAAGCTACGTGTTTACTAAATCATTGGTTAGCGTTTAAAACGTGGAATTAAACTGGAAGTTAGGACAGTCACGTTGTCACTGACGGATAAAAGTAAACTTCGCTGGAAAAAGAGCATTCTATGATAAGTAACTAGGCAACCGCACAAATCACCTGCACAAGTCTTTGGCAAAGGATGGCGCAGTACTTAAGTAAGGCCACAGATCGGCAGTAGCATTCTACTGCCGGGTACTTTTTTGTAATTCCATAATTATTTTTAAACCATTAATTGTTACATTTGAATCAGGCCACATCTATAAAGACTTATGTATATATTCAGAAACAAGATAAAAATTATATCGTTGTGGAAATTAGAAAGTTTATCATTTTCGATACGGCATATGTTTAGACAGCCCGGGTCCATTATTGGGGGCCTGAGCCAACGTGTTGTGTGTACAGACCTTCGTTCGCGTGATGTTGTGGAAGTCAGAGCAGTATGTGTTGGATATTTTACATCCGTCTTCGTTTTCTTCTTTTTTCATTTGAATAGCGATTCAGCTCGTTTCATCGTACGGGTTTCTGCTTTGTTTGTGTTGGTACAATGATGCCCGGTGAGAATCAATCCAAAATCGCAGGAATCGCCTCAGATGCCACTGCGGGAACCTGTCAAAACTGCGCTGCTTTACAGCAGGTTAGGCGCCGTACTTCTTTATAATTCACCGTGTGCAGGTTTTTGTCACGTTTTGATGTATTAACCAAATATTTCTTTTATTACTTTGTCATATGACTTTTCTAGAAACAAAAGCTATTGCGCATCAGATTACGAAGAAGATCTTATTTTTTTTTGCTCTTTAGCTATATATGTAACGCTCTCAGAACTTTTTCCTCAAAGTTGTATTAATTGAAATATATATTTTTTCAGAACGTGAATGAATATGTGGCAGCATTGCTGTCTCTGAAGCAGAAAGTAATTGATACAGAGTAAGTACTGAAGTCAAAACTGCATCTACATATAATTAAACTTTACTTGTCCAGTACTGTAATTTCTTTTGAAAGCTACAAACGTCCTAGTGATCTTTATGTGTCTTAGCATTCATTCATTCATTCATTCATTCATTTGAAGTGTCTTGTTGGTTTCATTGTTGTAAAATAATATTGACACAGTACTTTCAAGGAATGTGTCTGGGCGGATTTTTTTTTCGTATTGCAATGGCATCAGGAAAGAAAAAGTGTGCGTGTATGCTTGCAGCTAGTGATATTGCCCAAAGACGGATTTAAATACTTAGTGTTACTTCTGATGTTTAATGGTAATAACATTTTTCTCATTTTCCAGCCACCTCTTAACGGAATATGAAGCAAAGTGTGATGATATCCTTTGAAGCTCTGTATTATTCAGCATAAGTTGTGAACTCTCTAGTGCTCTAAAGAGTTGTTTGTAAGTGCACTCGTAGGTCTCTTTTGAAACGATATTAGTTTTTCTTGACTGTTTATTACAGCTTCAGAAATGTCAAAGGTAAGCATTTTTGAGTTAAATATGTATGTCGTCCTGCAACCCTGAATAGGACAAGTGGTTACAGAAAATTGATGTATTGATTCATATGTTGTGCTGTCTATAGCAAAACCCTGCTTTATGGGTCATTAGGTTATTATGTGAGATGGGTCATGGCCATCTTTTCTGCTACTGTATTGTGTTCGTTATCCTAGTTTATGGTCCTAAAACCTTGGATTGGAGTCTCTAAGTCTGATAAAGGACCTAAGAGATCCATTTAATTTCAGTTTGCGAGGTCGCTTACTGTATAGCTTTCTCTGAGTGGGTACAGTAAAATATATCAATGTTTTAAGCCTCTCGCATTATATGCAGACCATTGATTACTTGTGGGTGAATCCTTCAGGAGTCACTTGTGGTGTGTATGTGGGAAACGTTTTGAGTTGCATGATATTTTTTTTGCTGCCATTTTTCAGGGAGTCCAATGAACTCCATAAACAGCTGGATGAACTTCTGGATAAAATGGTACCACTGGAAAAGCGGAGCAAAGAATATGAAGTACTGCGGTCGGAGCTGGAGGAAAAGAAGGTTTGTTTCAGAAACACTGAGGTTTACGTTTCTATATCTGGCAGGTATCAAATATGGGTAGCTGTAGAGGGATTACTCATAACGAGGCTTTTTATGTGGTGGGATATGTGGAGCCTATTTGTAATTAGTGTACTAACCTTTTTTTTTCTCTCTAATTAAACAGAGCACCCTGAAAATGTTCGAGCAGAGATCTATGGAAGTGGATGTCCTCAGGGACGAAAATTCCAAGACTGTGGCTCAGTGAGAACCATTCTAGTATTTTGTGCGATACTACATTTTATTCATGCTCCTCATTTAACTTATTTTTTATGTCATATTCAGAAACATGAACCTTGAAACTCAGCTAAAAAAGCTGGAAGGTGAGTCTCTTTGATTTAAAAATAAAATTATAAGTGTGTGTATAAAAAAAAATGTAGCAGTAATAGCTAATGATATTTAGAGTAAAAACATTGTTCTTTACTTAGTCTCTGTAGCTATTTGTCGTCTTTGACATGTTAATATTAATAATGCTTGTGTGTACATTCTTGTTTTTAATGCTATAATGCATCTTTTGTTGCTTTTGATTTCTCTTCCCCAAAAAAAGAAACGACAGCCAAGCAGAGACAAGAAAGTGAAAAGCTTAAAATGGAGAAAAAGGGTCTGGAAAGAGAGGTTCAGAAGACGCAGGTCAGAATGAAAGATGCTTTATTTTGCCACTCATTGTGATTAGTCTTGTCTTAGTCTTAGTGCTTGGAAATGCTCTATATTTGAAGCATGCACTGGAATCTGAGCATTCTCTCTGTCTTTTATTAGAGCTCTTTAAAGCAGTACCAGCAGGCCGCCAGCGAAGCTGAGATCTTTAAGGCGGAAAACACTAAAATACTTGCAGAGTAAGAACCTTCCTGTTAAATAAGTACAACATGAATAGCAGTTTTGATTACTTTTTATATGAGGTAGATAGTTCAGGTCCAGAGTAAAAAGCCATCTAAGTGAGCACTCTGCCGCTGTGACTCTTTAATGCTCAACTGGTTGGTTGAAACACAATCTTGGTCTGGATTTTTACTTTCTGGACCTGAACTTTTCACCTCTGTTTTAGTTTGTCATACTTGTGTGGCACGGATTATGACAGCCGTAACAACTCTTTCTCTTCATTCGGGGCAAAAGATGTTTATGATTTTTAATCTTTTCATATCTATTATTATGGTGACATTGAGATTCTGGAGCCAAGTGGGCTACCCAGTGATTGTGTTGTTGGTTGGTTGTTTTGTAAACATCCGTATTTCTTTCTTAGAAAAGAAAACCTTGAACATCAACTACAGATGTTTAAAGGTAAGCAGCCATTTGGAGTCATTTCCATAAATGTTATGACGGCATCTCTCATGCATAATTAACATTGTATTTGACACTGTATCAAAAAGCAGTGCATAGCATTAATTATTAATACTTAATTCATTAATAAAGGCATCACCATGTGGTTTCATCTCAGTTTAGTATTGTTTCTGTGCATGCTCAGCCCCCACCCAGTCCTAATAAACAAAAACTTGGGGCTTTATTTTCTATTTAAGACTCAAGCGTCAAGCAGATGTGTGAGATCGAGCAGCTGAACCTGGACAAACAAGGGCTGGAGAAGAAAGTGTGGAAGGCAGAGGTCAGGTCACCATTTTGTCTGTCATGCTGATTAGCTTAAGCACAAATGAGTGTGGCTGTAACGGGCTTTTTCATGCCATTTTACTGGCAAAATCATTTATCTGCTTGCTAAACAAACTCTTTCACCCAGATTAATGAGGCGGCATGACTTACTGAGGTCACTAAGGTGGCTTTTCTGACATTTTGCGCATTATTCCGGTTCTGTAAGCCTCATTCACTTCAAAAAGGACACTTAAAGATTAGATTAGATTAGATTACATTAGATTAGACTTTATTAATCCCACAATGGGGAAATTCTTTGAGAAAACAGCAGCAATAATGAAAAAAGACAGTACAAAAAAAGGACAGGATCCATAGGATCAGCAAAAAAATAACAATACAGATAATAAAAACAATAGAAAACAATTTCTAAAACTGTAAAAATATATAAGTAAAAATGTAAGAAAAAAAGAAACATATACACAATGCTAGGTATATGGATAGCAGCTGCTGAAATATATTATATATATATATATATATATATATACATACATACATACATACATATATATATATACACACACACACACGCAGATATACATATATATACACACATATGTACATATACAGGGATTTTATATATATTGATTATGTGGTCACTGCAGTGATGTGTTGTAAAGTCTAATAGCTGTGGGGAGGAATGATCGACGGAAGCGCTCCTTCTTGCACTGAGGGTGTAACAGTCTTGTGCTGAAGGAGCTGCTCAGAGCCTCCACAGTGTGGTGCAGGGGGTGGGAGGGGTTATCCATAATAGTAATAATCCATTAAAGCAGTTTTAAGAAAAATATTTCATTGTTGTGTTACAGAAACATGTGGAGAAACTGGAGTGGGAAAAACAAAAAGGTTTGTGTCCTGTGATCTGTTGTTTTTATAGGGTTTTAGATGTGCTTTGGCTTGATTCCTGAAAATAATTTGTTTTTAACAGAGACAAGAAGTGTGTCCGTTCAGACAAATTCCCCTAGAGAACCAACGGTTGATAAATGTGAGTCCTCAATGACATTTGAGTGCTTATATATGTATGATTTTATGTAAAAATTGCTGCAGATAAAATTATATTGTGTGTTATTTGTCTTATTTTGCAGCTAAAGTTAAGTTGCTTTTGGAAGAACTTTGGAAGTGTGTAGAGCCACAGTATCAACAGACCTCGAAGCTGTTAACCTTTTCTGGTAAATAAGTCTATATCTTTTGTTTGATTTAAAATATATTCTCTTGTGACTCCTAGTATAAGTGGCTTTTTATTGATGTGTTTTCAGACATTTCCCATTGTTGTTTACTTCAAAATTCTGCATTCATTGCAGATGGAATCAACATCTCCAGGGAGAGCTCTCCAAAAGAGCCACTTAGGAGCCCATTTAAAATCCAGAACTGCAGATCCCCATCAAGAGGCTCTTGCTCTAGGATATCATACTCTGTCAGTGCAGAGAAGGAAGCACTTGAAAAGTTGAAGAAGAGAGACAGGGCCTCAAAGGAGCACTTAAATGCCGTGGTCACTATGGACGGAAGGTCTCTGCTTCCAGCTCGTGAAATTGCCAGTGTAGATCTGGGGTCCTCACCTCCTGTGAAAGAGATGCCTGTGGAAACGGAAGAGGCCAGTTTAGAGGAGATGATGGACTGGTTCAGACCTCTGCCTTCTCTTTTATCGCCAATTTCTTCACCATATATCAAGGTATGTCCCATAGGCATGTTTCCGTACAAGAGAATAAGGTGGGATTTAAAAAATAGAAGTTGTCTTTTTTTTTTATTGGTTTGTATATAAAATAATTGGTGGGGGGCTGAACTTAATGAAATGTGTATAATTTTTTATGATTAGTGCCTCTTGTAGCCATTTTTGTCTGCTCCTGGTGAACTGTTATACAGACGTGGAAATTAGAAAGTTTATTGTTTTTGATACAGCATATCTTTAGACAGCCCAGGCCCATTAACAGATTAAGACATGCTGTTTATATGCCCCTGTTTTACAGGAAGTTGTGTTTGGACCTGTGTCAGAATCAAGCGATGATGAGGAAGAAGCAACATCTATTGAAAAAATGGGAAGGCCTATTCAGATGCTTGATGATGGCACCGATGTTCCGTCGTCTATGAAACCTAAATCCACAGATCTTCAGCACTTGAGTTCACTTTCTAAAGACCAGGCTGTTAAGCCAACATCTGTTTCACAAGAGGATACAATCAGTACATTGGCAGAGTCGCCTAAAAGTCCTTGTGCAAATGAGTCCATTTCCAGTGGGAAAAGGTTTGATCATCTTGAAACATTTTCAAATGAGAAAGTCCTGATGCTAGAGGAAACTTTACAGCAAGATAGTGGAATTCATGCAATACACGGTTCTGATGAGACATTCTTGGGTATCCTTCCAAATGGACACAAAGCAGAAGACCACAAAGACAACCCTGCGGTTCCAGCAAGCACCTCAGAGTTGTGGCTGCAGCGCATGGGGAACACGGAGTACACAGATAGCGATAATGATATTGTGATGGAGCTGTGTACTCCCCTCAAAGTTTGCCGTGTGATCAATGATCCTCTGGAAGACGTCTCCATACCTCTGGCACTGTGCAAGGAAGTGGAAGTCAAGCAATCTGCAAATGAAACGATCGGGATGGGCGAAAGTTCTGAGAATTTAGAAGAGGGCTTGGCTATGGTGACAGAGTTAAGGGGATCTGAAATGCTTTTAGAGGGTGGCCTGAAGCACAAGGAAAACGGAGTCTGCTTGAATGAGGTCTCCCCAGGGGATGATGCTGCCTTACCAAATGCAGATAATGAGACAATAGATACAATCCAAGCGAGAAACTCCTCTCTTCAACCAAAGCCGATATTTACAGCTGCTAATGAAATTTCCCAACCAAGCAATGTACCTTTCAATAAAGAAGACGGACCTGATGATAAATTAGAGCATTTAGAAGTTTGTGGTGTGGTGGAAAATGGCATTCCTGAAAAGGACAGTGCAAAAATAGAATCAGGAAAATCAGATGAATTATTGGCTGATGCCCTTAAATTGTCTCCTGGTCTAGGTTGTTCATTACAATCACAAAAGGTACCTGACTCAAAGGAGGCTGCTAAAGTAGTCCATGAAGATTGCGAAGCCTCCTGTGTAGGACCTTTTGGACCTGACTCATCTCCTGTGCATATATCAGTAGAGGCTACCTCAGAGGACTTGTCATCAAATAGCGAATCATCAGATGAGTCCTTCAAGCTGCACAGGAAAGCTAAAATGACGCACCAGCGCACCAGTAGCCAAATTTCTTCTGAACCGATGAAGGATCTGAGATCTGAAACAAGATGGATGACATGTGATGATAGGGAAACGATACATGGCTCTCTAAAGGAACACATAAATCATGCACCATCTGATGAGCAATTTAAGGCAGATGGCAATTTCTCAACGATCCTCGAAATCAAGAGGACCAAAAGTGATCTGAAGAACTGTGCTAGTAAGGCTGTGGTGATAGAAACTAATTTGGTCTTGGAGAATCATGAGATGGTAAATTATTCTCAATCATCATTGGAAGGGGTGAAATTACATGACCAAAACCACTCTGACAAAGTTCCCTTACAGTCACAGGATGAAGTGGCAGATGGAAGTTCTCTCAGTTCTTCTGCAGGTACAGAATGTATCATAGAGTCAGCACCAGATTTTCAGAGGGGAGATGAGGAACCTGATAAAACTGCAGCTGATGAAAAGGTATCCTGTAGAAGATGCGAGAGCATAAATGAAACTTCTATTGGTGAAAACAGTGAAGGGTTTTCTGAAAACTCTACCCAGAAAGAAACATCGAAGGACTGTATTGTTCCTGGTCACATGTCACAGTGTTCTGATAATGGACAAGAAGTAATGAAGGTGAACATGAAGGGTGAAGAGTCCATCATACCAAACCCTTCTGTGCAAGTTACAGATGCACCAGGTATTGCATGGTCACCAGAATGCATAAGGAAGGTCAGATCTGAAATGGGCCCACCACTTCCACCTCTGCTTCCACCGCTTACTGCAACTCCTACAAAACCACACACTCTTGACTCTTCCTCAAGTTTTATTCCTGGCAAGTTGTCTTTTTCTTCTCCAAAGCATGAGTTGTCCTCACCTCGGCATGGGAAGGTGATACCTCCTCCTTTTGCATCTCCGTTTACTGGTGGACCAAAGGAAATATCTCCATCTTTGGCCCCTCAGTCCCCTTCTGACACAAAATGTGAAAGAATACTATCATCTCCATTGCAGTTCTGTTCGGCGACTCCCAAGCATGCCGTTCCTGTCCCTGGTAGGTTTCCCCCTTCTGCTTTGAGTACATCTTCTGCATCCCCTACTGCAACCCAGGAGAACTCTGTCCGAATCCTCGACACGATGTATCCTGAACTGTCTGCTCGAGCTCGGACCCTCAACATTCTGAGGGGGAACGTCACTCTTAGCAGACCTGTGGCCGAAAATGGAAAGGCAGTACCTGTTCCGGTCAACCAGATTACAGGTTACAAGTCCATCAATTCGTCTTCCACCGCCTTCACTAAAACCGGGAAATCTTACGAGCCTGACAGTTGTAGTGCCGAGGAGTCGATGGAAAATGCACGCAAACTCAGTTGTTCTTCTCCCCGTGAAGAAACAGGGAAAAGACCGGGAGTAAATATGCTTTTGCCGGTAAGTGCCAAAAGACTTCGGCTGGAAGATGGCACCCAAGCTACTCCCAGCATCGCACCTCCGACTAGGCCTCTCGGGGACCAAGAAAAGCTTCAGCAAGTCACATCTCAAGTGCCTAAAGAAGACTTGCAGCCTGAATGCCCTCAGGATGTCAGTGTGGCGAACAGTACGGTGGAAATAATTTCAAAGGCTTTGACAAAAATCGGAACGTCCTGCTTCGATGTATTGCCAGTGATTAGAAGCCATCTCAAAATTGGGAGGATTTCAAAGGTGCCAGTGCTGAGGGATGAGGAGCGTGAAGTCATCCGCGAGTTTTGTGGCATTAATAAGGTTAGTATTCATTTTAGCAGTTGAATCTGAGTGTGAAGGAACTCTGCATTGGTGTCTCATGTTTTTTCTGTCTCTTAGTCTTTGGCAGATGAGTTCCTGTCTGCAGTCTTGACAAAGATTAAGACTGAAAAGGACACCCTTAGCGGGGACCACCTGCAGTGTCTCTGTAGGGTCTATACAGGATTATGTCGGCAGAGAGATGAATCGGAAAGAGTTCATCTCCTTGTCTACTGCATCTTGAAAGAAGGTAAAATCAGTAATAGGATTCAGTTATTGAGCGCAACTTGATGCTGAGCTGTATAGCTTAAAATGTGATGCACACTGAAAATGTGAAGGACCTTGTTAAATCCTTCTGATACTAGTGTGTGTATATTTATATATGAAGATGAAATTCGTGAAGGACAATTTGCTCGGACAAAGCATGCTGTATATGGAGGATTTTGTGGTGTGTACACACTTGGTGTAACCCCTTCAGGAGTAGAGATGGCACTGAATTACAATCTTCGGTTTTGTCTTCTGCTAACTTTAACTCTCCCCTCTTTCTGAAATAGATTTCCCCGAGTCAGCAAAGTTAATTTTGTTCATCGTGACAACGTGGTACAACATTCTATTCCCACACTCGGGGATCGTGTGCAATGCCATGCACGCAGTGATTAAGGATCGGGCGGATGGGGAGGTCCTGGAATGCCTTACCAAGTACCTTGGCTGGGAGACGGTAGGCCCTTAACGCTCACTTTATTTTTAGTTCGGTTTTTAAAAATTTATTTATTTATTTATTTATTTATTTATTTATTTATTTAATTTTATGCTGGACCATGAAGAACTGGTCACTTTTTGTGCAGATCACACCAAATTCTGGTTATTGAAATATTACTTGAATGAGAACTTTATTTGCACATTTCTTGTGATAAACTACTAATTTTGTTGTAATTAGTTACTATCTATGAGGAAAGAGGAAGAAAAGCCATTAGGGAAGCGCTCTGGACTATTTGCTTGTTGGAAAAATTGTTTTTCATGTTAAAATAGTGCTTTTAACTGGAAATGTGTATTTAGGAAGTGTTAACTCGTAGAATAACAAGCTGACCATTTTGTTTCAGAATCCTCCTTGTGACATTGAGAAGATTATTACGAAAACATTAATGCCACTCCAAACGGGAGTAAATATGACATTCCAGCAGCATGAGAGGCATGGAGATGACCTGAACCGGGCAGCTTGGGAATACGTGTATGCAGTCGATCTGCTGTGCACCCAGAAGAAGTGGAACTGGACATATGAGAACTTAATATCGTAAGTCTGAAATAACGTTAATTTCGTCACATATGTCTTAAGGTGGCCGTATGTTTCAGACGAAATCAACATCGTATGAGTTCTGATCGTCGCGGTGATCACGATTTCGGTGCATCGCCTGTGTAGGGTACCCAAGGCGAACCTTATCATTTGTTCTGATCCCACCCACTGCCCACGATTGGCTGACATAAATGTGATGCCATGGGGTTGGTCAGCAGGAGGAATTATGCAGTGACCGGTATGCTTTTCACTGCATCATGCGAGTCTGTATATAGTGTAAATGTTTATTTGTGTATTTATGTTGCAAATGGTGAAATGTCATAACTGTGTGATTTTTGCCGTGGAATGTGTGTGTTTTTTGTTGGTGCGTTACCATAAGTGTTGTTTAGTGTTGCTTCCCTGTCTTTGCTGCTGCTAGTATTAGACCAATCGTGGCTATTAACAAAGATGGCAATTTATATTTTAAAAGAGCCATCGTTGCATTTTATTAAAATGGCTCTATGTTGGTCTGCTGCATCGAAAACATTGTACGTGCTCTAGGGTTCTGGTGTGACATAGATCAAAGAAAGTGGCAACATCGTTTTAAGTGTTCCACAGATTGTTTCCGCTAACATGTTTGATTTCGTAGAAGGCCACTTTTGTGGAAAAACCTTATCACGCAAAATTGTTATGATTGTGTTTTTTTTTTATTAACAGAAAGGAACTTTGGCCTATTATGAACAAGTGGGTGACACAACCAAGAAATCAACCACCTGGCATTCCAGATGTTTCTGTAGCATCTGTTTTAAGATTAATTGGTAAATTAAATGCCACTTTTCTATTCCTATTTTGTTGCATTTAGGATCTTTACAGTTCTGTACTCTTTATACATTTGTACATTTTAACGCTAAAATTGTTGAAATTGTTTGCCCTTTTCCCATTATAATACTCATAATAAAGAGAACTGCCTACGTGCAATACCTCATGATAAGCTGTTACCACATAACATTTGGTTCATTTTCAGTATATCTGTGTGTTTTTTAGGACGACTTGGCCAGTTGGGAATTAAGGAGAGATCCATAGTTTCTGTAAGAAACGTGGCAAAAGTGATCAACACCTTCGGCAGACATGGACAAAAAGAAGGTAGATTGATTGTCATGCGATATAAAGTTTTGAGAGAGGAAGCCTTGGTACCTTCTCCCTGTTTCTGGTTAGGGTCCTTGTTTACTGGGTGGTGGCACACATTGTTTAGACTTAAACTGTCTTTGGCGTAGTTTCTGAATCTGCACAACATGTAAAATGTGAGTCACTGATATCCCTCCATTGACTCCTATTAATGTTAAACGGCTGTGAGGCGCCCTGTGAAAATGGTTTTATAGTCCTTTATAAAGGGGGGGTCCGGCTTTAGTAACTGTGCCTCCTTCATATATACACTAAGTATATAAATGGCAGTCAGTGTTTTAGTGTGCTTGGTCCTTGATCAGAAGGTCACTGGTTTCAAACCCATGGATGGCAGTGTGATTTCACTGCTGGGCCCTTGGTCAAGGCCCTAAATCCACAGGAGCTCCAGGGACTGGCTGACTCTGCTTTCTCAACTGTATGACACTTTGAATGGATGCTTCTACTAAATGAATGAATGTAATGTAATGTAAATGGCAGCTGACCCATATTAGATGATGTCCTGGTTGGCTACGTGTCTGGTCCTGGATCGGGGCTATTGCAAGCAGGGAGAACAGGAGGTGGTAGCGGTCGGGTCAGACCCGAAAATGTTAATTAGTGTCTACAAAGCACTATTCACCTGTTCACCGTGCTCATTCGCAGGTGTGCCGTGGGCGGTCCAGTTGGCGGCTGTCTACACGATTTACGACTTGTCGCCCTGCAACCCTAAAGAGGCCATGGAGACTCTGGCGGCGTGGCGCGGGGAAACTACGCGGCCCGTGGCCCCCGCAGTCACCAGCTGCATCACACAGCTCGGATCCATCTGCCGACAAGTGAAGTCGTGAGGTCGACTCGTCTGAGGGACGTACGACATCGGCTCCCTCGAATAGCCCATAAACGCTATAAAACTAACTGCATTTTAAGCTCAAACCAAACTGCTTGCCGTCTTGCCTTCTTACCGGGCTTTAGCAGAGTTGCCAGTTCACTATCGTTGTTGATTTTGGAGCTAGAAAATCAAAGCCATGTGTATATATGTCAAAACCTTGATCATTTCAGTTGTAAATGTTTTGTAAATGTCCAGTCCTCCTTGTTTTGTATTTTCTTTTAAATATTAAAAGCAGTATCCATTGTGATATTTTATTTTGTCTTTTACTTAGAGCTGTTTTTAAGCCTGTCTGTATCATAAATTTTAAATCATGTCAATCCTAGGCTCCCAAGGGAGCTGTTTTGAGCGTTTTCCCCAGCGCAGAGCCAGAACGTGCTGGAAGACCCCTGTCTCTGGGGATGTCTGGTGCTGCTCCAGAACGAGCTGGTGTCTGCGGCCACAGTAAGGGAGGTCTGCTGCCACCTGCTTGGCACGCTGCCGCCTGGACCCTCACCAGGAAAACTGGTGTGACGACGATAAGCATCTTCATCTAGTTTTTACACTCTTTAGTCAGTAGGTGGCACCAAACAACAGCTAGTAACCAAGTCACAGGAATTTTTTTTTTTTTTTTTTTAACTATTATTCTCCTTCCCTCGGTAATAACGGAGGAAATTGCCAGACTGATTCTTTCTGTCACGGCTGTACATTACAGGGAGATAAAGATTTCAATTTCCTGTTCATAACAAACATACCGCTGTGTTCCTTTTTTGCATCACTATCGATATATTTGTAATATAGCAGAGGAACATGAAATGAAACACGGTAGTCAAGAAAACTGAAAACAGTGTTAATAAATAGGCAGCACGGTGACTCGGACAGTTGCGCTACATTCTAGCAGCGCCTGTACTTGGGGATTTGATTTTCTACCGGGTTGTGTGGTTTCCTACAGGTTCTCTGGTTAATCTCACCACAAAAACGATTATAAATATAAGCTCTTAGTCTGCGGAGTTTGGCTGTGTATGTATGTGAAGCACTGGCGTCCTGTCCAAGGGTCTCCCCTGTCTTACACGCCTAGTGCTTCCTTGGGTAGATACTGCAACCTTTTGTTGGATAAGCCCTTATGGAATGTGTATGGATTTTAAAAATGTATATATTTTTTTGTCTCTCATAAGTTCCTCATAAATCCTGAAATTTCAAAGCAGGAATTATTCAGTGTCACTACTGTCATTTATTTGTAAGCTCACGTTGCAAATTACCTTGGAAAGATCTTTCCTGGTAGACAAGGCGTATAATTTGTTTGAAAATTACTACAATTTACGTTTTATATAAATTTTGTAGAAGGTTGGAAGGCTTTTATAGTTTTATAAATTTAACTGATTTTGTGCTCAAATACAGTATTACATGGTTATTACGAATACAAAAGCATCCCTTGAAATGAATGTAATTTCATTTTCCTTATTGAGAAATATAAGTAGAAGCTCTCATTGTATTCAGGCTAAGTGTTTTTATTAAGGAAATTGAATACTTAATAAAGTTTTATAATTTTATAACCCAAGGAATGGTAAATGTACGAGATTAATTAGTGTCACTCATATACAAACTGTTCTGTGTATTATATTCTTTCATCCCTTTACTGGTTTTATTTTTTGCATTATTAGTGTATTTAATTTCCGTCTTCGAGAAAAGGCAGAGATGTTCACTGTTTTCCATATAACAGTATATATTTGTCCAAATATGTCCAAACCAATATCAAAAAATAATCGGCTTGCCAGGGAGATCTGCTCGAACAGTTGCCTTCTTTGCAAAACAACGGGTGTTGCATAGAAACCAAAAGGGCTACTGCAGGAGGCGGCATCGTCAATATCCTGGTCATTTACATTGTCGGGGTATTTTCATAACTCAGCTTCGCACATTTCCGCGTCTCTCACCACCGAAGCTGCAGCTGCGTCGCCGCAAACAGCGCCTCTGAAAACGGAGATGGATGGGGAACCTTTCATGGAGGCTCTCCAGCCTTGGATACTGAATTAAAGTGGCTTGTATTTTATAACTTACAGCAGGAGCAAGTGGAGAATATTTAAGGTTTTTTTATTTATCAAAAGCAAACAAGAAACATTGCTTCCTGTCAGGTGAAAAAGCGGTATCTGGGTTATCGGTAAAGGATCTCATAAAATATATTTTTTTCTCTATCTCATTTATTAGAAAATAAAAATCACGTGAGACGGGTGAGCGGAAGATGTGCGTGATTTTTGCAGATGCGTCTCTGTGCTCAGTAATACTGCATTTCTTAAATTGATCGAATGGTTTTCGAAAGATAATATATACAGATGAGCCAGTTGCACTCAGCTGTTTTTTTGGAAAATATTCTTCCAAAATGGCCTTTGGTTTCTCGCATTTGTTTTGTTGAGATTCAGATGACTTATTGCATCCGTCCAGTAGTCGTCTCCAGAAGCTGCTGTGGAGCTGTACGTCTCCGCTTGATCTCTGAAGCAGGAAGCCAATCGATACGGGGACGTTAATAGCATAAAAAAGGCCAAGAAAAAAACGATGGCAACACTGCTACGGAAAATAGGTGTCAGTCGGATCTCCGAAAAAGACGCGGATGAGGCTTTGCATCACCAGGGCTCCTGTAAAGGCGGCAGGAGCAGCGTTAATCCAAAGCTTAACAACCTGAAGCCGTGTAACACAAGCAACGAGAAGACCGTCTGCAACCCCCCAGAAGCGAGGAGCAAGACGGCAGAAGAAGAGGACCGTCAGTCCGTGAGAGGTAAGCAGGTTAAGGAGAAACAAGCCGTCAAGGCGGGCACTGCTCCAGGGCGAGCACATGGACCGCAGCGACAGGAGTGCCATCAGCTGAGGACCAAGCGCCTCATGAAGGAACTCCAAGACATCAAGAGACTGGGGGACAGCTTCATAACAGTGGAGCTGGCCGATGATAACCTCTTTGAATGGCACGTTAAGCTGCACCAGGTGGACAAAGACTCTGCTCTCTGGCAGGATATGAAAGAGACCCAGACGGATTTTATATCCGTGAGTATCTCTTTCCCCGACAATTTCCCTTTCCAGCCGCCTTTCATGAGGGTCCTCACCCCCAGGCTGGAGAACGGCTACATACTTGATGGGGGCGCTATCTGCATGGAGCTGCTGACGCCTCGGGGATGGTCCAGCGCTTATACCGTGGAGGCGGTCATGAGGCAGTTTGCAGCCAGTCTAGTGAAAGGCCAGGTGAGAAGCACCTTAAGATGTTTAACGCACCGATATTTTGCACATTGCGCTTTACTCTGCCACATTTACTATTTCAGTCATTTTTAACATATTGTTTATATTTATTTTATATATTTAGCCTTCACTTAGTCATTTCTTTCTGTTTCAACCGTTTATTCAATTTACTTAATATTTATCCCATAAACACATACCTCTCCAAGTTATATGCACGCTTTGATGTTTCTTGCTGTTTGACCCTGTTAATTGTTACGTCACTCATATGTCGCGCGAGTAGGAAGTTCTATGAACTGATTTACAAAGGGCAAATGAAGAGTCTTTATATTTCTATACGTATTTTATTTTGTGTCATCGTGTGTTAAAATGTGGATTTAGTGATTGGTCTGATTTTTACAATATGTACGGATGAGATGTGTGCTGATAAACATCCATGCCAATGAAATTAAGTGAGAAAATGAGTAATCTTGAAATGTATTGTACGCTGTCTGCTGTCTCAGTGGGTAGCGCTGTTGCCTCACACCTCGAGGGTCTGGTGTTCAAATCCAGTCCTGCTCTGTGTGTGTGTGGAGTTGGCACACTCTCCCCATGGTGCTTGGGTTTCCTCCCGCAGTCTGAAGACATGCTGTCATGTTAATTGGTGTAGATAATTTGTCCAAATGTGCCCCTGTGCTGGACTGGCAATACAGCGCTGATGTTCCCCTGCTGCTTGCTGAGCAGTTAATTTGCTGGTGTTAGTCTGTGACACATTATAGACATATCATACCATAATGTCCTTGACAGTAGGGTGAAAAGTACATTGTTGTGCCATTTGAATCCTGGTAATCCTTTGCCATTAGAATGGTTTTCGGACTGATCGGCTGCTGCAGACCCTTATTAGACACTTATTAGACTTAAAAGTGGGATAACTCAAAAGTATTTGACAGATCAATTTCCCAAACATTGCAGACACATTATATAGGTGAACATCTAGAACTCTGATGAAATTCTGATTCACATCACACCAAAATGGAAGCAGCACAAAGAGAAGGGTAGCCACATCTTGTTAGCACAATAATTCAAAAAGCATTTGTCCAATATTTTTCAAGCTTCACATGTCTGGAACTTATTTCATTATGAAACACATCACACCAAAATTGAAGCAATGCTAGGTGGCAGCAAAAGAAGGAGAGGGTGGATGCAGAAGACACTTGGTCTTGTGAACACAGTAACTCTAAAAGTATGTGATGGATCTTTTTCAAACTTTCCAGAAACATTATATAGGTGACAATCTGGAGCTTATTTCATTTTGAGACATTTTGAGAACCAGATTACACAAAGTTGGGTTTATAATAAAGATATTTGGAGAGGTGGGTAGAGTGTATATGAAGGCTAGAGGTTGTAGAGGTTCAGGGGTGTGGAAAGAGTAGGGATGGGGGATGGGATGATAAAGATGGGGGGTGGGGGAGTGGTGAGTCCATCCAGGGAATACGTTGCTGTTCCAACAGCATCTAATTTGATTAAGCTTTAGAGTAACACTATGTGATTAAGATAAATTCTCTAATAAAATACACTCACCTAAAGGATTATTAGGAACACCTGTTCAATTTCTCATTAATGCAATTATCTAATCAACCAATCACATGGCAGTTGCTTCAATGCATTTAGGGGTGTGGTCCTGGTCAAGACAATCTCCTGAACTCCAAACTGAATGTCAGAATGGGAAAGAAAGGTGATTTAAGCAATTTTGAGCGTGGCATGGTTGTTGGTGCCAGACGGGCCGGTCTGAGTATTTCACAATCTGCTCAGTTACTGGGATTTTCACGCACAACCATTTCTAGGGTTTACAAAGAATGGTGTGCAAAGGGAAAAACATCCAGTATGCAGCAGTCCTGTGGGTGAAAATGCCTTGTTGATGCTAGAGGTCAGAGGAGAATGGGCCGATAGAAGCTGATAGAAGAGCAACTTTGACTGAAATAACCACTCGTTACAACCGAGGTATGCAGCAAAGCATTTGTGAAGCCACAACACGCACAACCTTGAGGCGGATGGGCTACAACAGCAGAAGACCCCACCGGGTACCACTCATCTCCACTACAAATAGGAAAAAGAGACTATAATTTGCACGAGCTCACCAAAATTGGACAGTTGAAGACTGGAAAAATGTAGCCTGGTCTGATGAGTCTCGATTTCTGTTGAGACATTCAAATGGTAGAATTTGGCGTAAACAGAATGAGAACATGGATCCATCATGCCTTGTTACCACTGTGCAGGCTGGTGGTGGTGGTGTAATGGTGTGGGGGATGTTTTCTTGGCACACTTTAGGCCCCTTACTGCCAATTGGGCATCGTTTAAATGCCACGGCCTACCTGAGCATTGTTTCTGACCATGTCCATCCCTTTATGACCACCATGTACCCATCCTCTGATGGCTACTTCCAGCAGGATAATGCACCATGTCACAAAGCTCGAATCATTTCAAATTGGTTTCTTGAACATGACAATGAGTTCACTGTACTAAAATGGCCCCCACAGTCACCAGATCTCAACCCAATAGAGCATCTTTGGGATGTGGTGGAACGGGAGCTTCGTGCCCTGGATGTGCATCCCACAAATCTCCATCAACTGCAAGATGCTATCCTATCAATATGGGCCAACATTTCTAAAGAATGCTTCCAGCACCTTGTTGAATCAATGCCACGTAGAATTAAGGCAGTTCTGAAGGCAAAAGGGGGTCAAACACTGTATTAGTATGGTGTTCCTAATAATCCTTTAGGTGAGTGTATATTAAACACAATTTTAACAAAAGTTGGGTTGTAAGTAGCACTCTTGCCTGTGGTAGGCAGGGGCTTTGCCCTACAGTGGGGTGATCAGATTAGACTATGATTGTATTTTTGAATTTTATTATTTGTTGAGGGATGTCAACTGGGGTGGCCATGTATTTACGGGGGGGAAGGGGGGGGAGGCATCGCCACTTTCAGCAGTTTTGGGTCTGTGGTTAGGCAGTTTGAATTTCCCCTCTTTTTCTTGTGTTTCATGGGTTTTCTCCTGGGTTCCTCTCCTAGTTCAAAAACATACAGTTCGGTCATCTGGAATTTCTGACTTGTCCATGATATGTGATTCTGCATGTGGTTGTCTGAGGAAAGATAGTTGTTGCACATGTTTTTAGGTAACATTTATAGTTACATTCTGATAGCAGATACAAGCTAAAAAGAGTTGGTCATCCTTATAATCTAAAATAAATATGGATTTCAGATTTTAAGTGCTTAGCCAGCTTCTTATTTAATGATGGCTTGTGTCTTATTTTATGGTGATTTGTACCCAGCACCCAATCTATCCCATGTTTTGTACTTTATGTAACGTGAAAACCCTTCCTTTGTCACTTGCTGTCTGCATGTCACACCATGGGACTGAGGGACAATTATTTCATGCCATTATATACCTTTATATTGATGGTATGACAATGAGACCCGTTTGACTTACTGATTGTTTTAAATAATAGGCCTAGTACCTGGAGTATTGAGAGGTACAGCTATATGATTACACTTTTGCACATAATCATTCATTTTTGTTATTTAGGTATTCTGCAGTGGAAATAGAAAGTGTGGTATTTGAAATACCTATTTGAAAATTGTTCTGAATTCTGTACGGTTAATTTATTAAATCCATCCACCCGTTTACTATAATCGCCTATCAAAGACAAGGTCACAGAAAGCCTGCAGATAATTTCGGGAGGCACAGGACAAAAAGTCTATTTTAAAGTTTATTATTTAGCAATCATGTCTAATTTTGTCAAAGAAATTTAGGAATACATGATGTGCTTCTGGTTTATTACATTTATAGGCCACAAAACTGAACGTTGCGGGTTGTTATTATTAGCTGCGTTTTACTGAAGGTCTTTCTCCCAACATCCACAGGGGCGAATCTGCAGAAAAACTGGGAAGTCAAAGAAGGCCTTCAGCCGCAAAGAAGCTGAGGCGACTTTCAGAAGCCTGGTGAAAACCCACGAGAAATACGGCTGGGTATCACCGCCGGTGTCCGACGGCTAGGCTGCCGCGCGGCCTCTCGCCACTACCTGTGGACGGAAAGCCCGCTCTTTCCTCGTCTCGGTCACAGATTTGTTTTTCTCTTGGGATTCTGATGTCTTGCTGCTATGAAGCACAGTATGTTTGTTATACATTATCTAATTTAACCACAGTTTAGTTTTTTTTTCCCTTTAAAAAGGGATAATCAGTGACGGTGAATCAGTACCCTCATTATTTCTGTGTCTGTCTTCACAGCCCGGCCTTTTTTTATACTCTGTGTGTCCACGAATCGCTTTAAATGCATCTCTCCATTCGTACTCTTCTCATTTGAATCTTACTCATATTTAGTAGGTGATCAGTATGTCACAGCTCATTGTTTGTTCAGTTCTGGTTTATTTTGAATGGATCCTTTTAACTTTGAGAAATTTATGTGCAGCTCTTTCTTACTCATGACCAAATTCCCACCAGACTGTTGTAACATAATTATTATTAAATTAAGCTATTTCATCTCATGCTAAACTATAGTTAAGATTAAACCCCTTGAAGAACTTGTACAGATTGTGCATCATTGTTTCATTACCTTGGGATTGTACTGTATTATTGAGATGATTGATTATTGCACAGTGTAAAAAGAGACTTTATGTATGCTTACAGAACATATTGTAGAGTATTTTCATATGGTTAAAAATCTATTGAGGTGGAAAATGTCTACCGTTTGTTCCGGTATTGGATTATTATGCAAAAATGGATTTTTCTTGACGGGGTGAATAGTTGTAACCTTGAACATAATAATAGGACTTATGTCATTTTAAACATTTTCACTAGTCAAATCAGTTTGAAGCATATTGAAGTCCAGTTTGAGGCACTGAACTGCAGTGTACACTGGTTTTGCTCATGTTACGGACATTGTAAATCACATACTGTAAGAGAAGTCCTCAGTTTGAACAGATATTATTCACATAGGATATTTTATACTTGTGTGACTTGGTGATACACATCAGTAATAAAGCAGACGTGTTTATTTGTTGTAGGTGGTCAAACTATAATATTAGTAGGTGGTTTGTGGGAAATTCTCAAAAGTAAATTCTGTTCTCTTTCTGCATTTCTACATGTCTTGCTTTTGCCCATCTGTAAGAAGTGATCTTATTATACCTGCTGGCAGATTGTAGTTGTGGAACAAACTGATTTCTTAATATCTGTCACTTGGTGTCATTGTGCCATTGTCTCACTGTCACCAGCAAGCATAGAAATTTAAATGTAGAGCAAAAAAACGTGTGGAAAAACTGTCTTGAAGAGCCTTAGCTGCTGTGCTCGTTCAACTCGTGGCCGTCAGCAGTGCTACAGCCAACTGGTCGCTGTATTTTTAGCTCCGGATTTTATGTCACATTTGCAAGGCTTTTAAACTGGTAATAAAGCTTATGCAACCATTTGCAGCTCACTGCTGGGTATTTTTAATCATTTTTTTAAATTTGATATTTATAACCTGTTAAATGAATCTTAAAATGACTAATATGCTTACATGCCCTATTTCAAGGTGTTTACAGAGGCTACCCTGTGCTTTTGGACAGAGCTTCTTATCTTGTTCTTTCAGAATTGGAAGTGATCTATCCATGTCTCCATTCTCCGTGGCCACTTATCCTTTTCGTGGTTATGGTGGGTCTTGAGCCCTGGCTGGGATACCAATCCATTGCAGGGCAAACACTCACACTGTGGGCCAATTCGAGTCATAATTTCATCAAGCCTCATTTTTGCACTTCAGGAGAACGCACTGAAAGAGATCCATAATGCTGTTTTGCAGTTACCATCTATTAGCTCTTTGATATTTCCTTATTGTGCTTCCTTGCTTTTCTCCTGGTAATTTTGTTGCCGGGCAGCTTTTCTGGATTTAAGAGACCCGGGAGGGTTGATCACAGTGAAGGAAATTTAAAGCAAGAGTCTCACAACTCTGTACAAACTCCACCAGACGCTCTAGGTGCTGAAGGCTGCCAAGGCTGAATGTGCATTTGCAAAATGCGTACATTTCACAGAAGGAGGATTACATCATGACTGTCACAGGGGCTGAATATTTAGCTAACGGTATTTAGCATTTAGAATACGTGTATTAGCCTAAATCGAGGGCTCACCACGTCATGACCATTTTGTCAACACCTTGCATGCTAGTGTTGGAATGGAGCTATGGATTTTGAAAATAATAATGGTTTTACACAGGAATAATTTAAATGCATAAAAGAATTAGGGTGACAAAGGTGTGGTGACATCATCAGATTCTATAACTTTAAATTCTCCATCTGCAGGGCAGACTTAGTAAATAGGTTGTGGGCTGTTTAAGATGACACTGTTTCTTTGGGGGTGGCATGGTCGCTCAGCGGGTAGTGCTGCTGCCTCACGCCTCGAGAGCTGGGGGTTTGAATGTCACCCCCACTGCATGTGTGAAGTAAGCATGTTCTCCCTGCTTGCTGTGAAATTTCTCTCAGGGTGCTCAGGTGTCTGCCCACAGTTAGACTAATGAATATGTGAATTTGCCAAGTTTGCTCGCTCTCCCTGTGTTCTCTGTATGTGGGTTTTCGCCTAAAGCTGATGAAATGTGGCTAGGCTAATTGTTATCTCCCATAACGTACAATAGCTTGGCATGCCAGCCCTATGCCCTGTGCTTCCTGGGATAAGGTCCTTGTGACCTTGAGCAGGATTTGCAGTTTGATGATGGATTGATGAGGTTCACTGAATTAAAACTTATAATTTGGTATAATGGGCAACAAAAGTTGCGATTTTCATTATTACCAGGCCCTCCAGGAGATTTCCCATTTACATTCTGTTACTCGGGAACATTAGATATGAATTAGGCGATGTCCATATAGAGAACCCATTTGCACTGTTCAAGAAAAAATCTTGAATTTTGGAAGAAGAAAAAAACTGAACACACAAACATTTTCAGATCATTCCTCTTCCAGCTTCCACTCATATTTCTTCCCTTTAACAATTAATCCATATATCATTAGCACTGAAAGCTTCTTTCTCAGCTTATTATCTCTGTAAGTCAAAGCCTATCAATGAGTCAAAAACTAAGGAAGTATATAATCAGTGCCCACTTTATTTGGTTCCCCATAATATTAACAAGTAGATCTCCCTTTTATCTCCAGAAACAATTCAATGGTTGATAAGCTGTGTGTTTGCAGAAGCTTTTCTGGACACCACTATTGTACTGAGCTGTTATTTTTGCAATTGTATCCCTCCTGTTTGCTTTAACGAATATGCCCAGTTTCCCTTGACCTTCCTCATTAACCTGGCGTTTTGGCACAAAGAAAAGCCACTGACTGGATGATTTTTGTTCATATCATTTTGTTCATCATTCCCTGTAAACTCTAGACACTGGCTGTTTCTGAGATGCTGGCACCTACAATGACACCACATTTAAAATGACTTACGTCACATGTCCTAGCATTTCTGCAGTGAGTGAACATCCTGACCCTGTCGGTCTGCTGTACATATTCCGTTGCAGCCATGTGATTCACAGTCTGGAGGGGAAGACAGTTTGCACTAGAAAGCAGAAGTACCCAGTCAACCTGCCACTTTGCGTATATAGGGTTCATAATGAAGATGGAGAGAATAAGGATTGTCCTGTTACTAAGCAACATCAGCAGGCATCTGCAAAGCCAACAGAAGATATGTCTGGTTCAATAAAAACACTTGACTAATGAATATTGATGAATTATCTGAACGCTGTTGTCTTGAACAGATGCTTCTGTGATCATCAAAAGCTTCAGTTTACAAGCACAGTGGTGTGTAGCTGAGTCAGTTTGAGGTCTATGCCTGAGTTTGGAAGGACGTGGGTTTGAATTCTATGACCAATAGAGTAATCATTTCACCTTTGAACATGATGCTTAACCTTAACTTCTCCAAGGGTGCTGGAGGTTGGCTGACCCTGGGCTTTTACCCCAAAACTTGGTCTTGCCTATATATTTGTGTGTTATTATGTATCTCATGGAGAGCAAGATGAAATATGTGAAAACCAAAGAAATCCTATGTACCTGTACTCATAATTGTACAAAAGGCAAATAAAGTATCCATAAATACTACAAATGGGAATATGGTATAAAAAAATGTATCGCATGTGTATTACCATCCACCATGAAAGATTATTACAGATGTCATGTGATTTCCAAATGTGGGAATCTTTCACAGCAATGGAACTGGAAGAGAGAAGCATTAATATCACCTTGCTGCTCTCAAACCACAGGGACAGAAAAGCCACAAAATCAGTGAGAGAATGTGCAGCACTTGGTTGTTTTGGCAGAGCATATGGCCTTGCTGCATGCGCAGTAGAGATTCCGAGGTCAAGAAATGACAATTGTTTGGTCCGGATTTGCCATCAACTTTTATAAACAGTAGAATGAAATCAGGTTGGGCCTAGATTCAGAATAAACAACAGAAAAAGCAGCTGCAAATTATCTGTGTAGCGGGAATATTAGTGAAGTTATATAGTGAAGAAGGGTCTTAAAAATTGGTGTTTCAAATGCAAACACTTGAATAACAATGAGTGTATTAAGGTGCATAGCTGCTTAACGTAAGCATTGTATGAGATTACCACTTACATCTTTTGCTGTTCGTATTATGTGAGCCAGCAAGAGCTCCTGTTCCTATGGCAACTGATTTCCAGCTCTGTCCCAATGGGCAACTGAATTCATGAAGTCCAGCTTACTCAAGTGACATCAACTAGGCCATTAGGGATATAAGTAGGACCAGATGTCAAGGATCAGATTTGAGGTACAAGAGGGCAGTACCTATAGTGTGGGGTCATGCTTGAATTTTGGATTAGGTTTCCTTTTGTGTTTTCCTTTACAGTTGACACACTATTGTTTTATGTCCTGTACAATGAATCATTATAGCTTGAGCCTTATGTGAGAATGAATTTGAAGTAGATGACGAACAAACCCATGTAACACTGGGAATACTACACAAAGGACTCAGCTTTTTAGGGATAATACGGACTGAGTCAAGGCAGAACTTAAATAGCAAGTAAATATGGAAAATAAAAGAGTGAAGAGTAGCCCCAGTCAGATGATGTAGGAACAATCTAGACAGGCCCTTCTCCAAATGCACGGCTGAATACAGAAGGCAAAATCAAAGCACATCAAGTTAGATCCATCCTAGGAAAGAGGGCAGGTGAATGAAATAATCAGCAATAGCTGAGATCACATGATCCCCCCACCCAACACCAGCATTTTAACTGTAACCTGTGACTATTTTACCTTTGTACTACAACTGAGCCATTTATTTTTCAAAAACGTACTTTTCAAAATGAACTTAGTGTGAAAATTTGTGTTTCCAAAAAGATTCCAAGACAAGCACATTTTCTTAATTATTAACAGCAGTTTTAAGATTTCAGATAAAATTAACTTTATTGGTTCCAGGTGTCATGATGTGTCTTGATGGACATGGTGGGCGAGAAAGGGGATAAATGCAGTGTATGCAGCTGCAAGGTAGGTGATATGCATACCTTACACAAGCATTTAAAATCATCTTAAACATAAATAATGAAAACCAAGTTTCTGGCTGATGCATTGTTAAAATATGTAGAAAAATCTGATTGTCTGAATATGTGTGTGTGTGTGTGTGTGTGTCTATACACACACACACACACACAATCAATGAGTAGTCAGGAATACGCTCCATGCAGAGTTACAATTCAATTCTGCCCTCTAGTGGGTAAACTATTTTACAAAAAGTTTCATTCCTTAAACTGCTTAACACGAGTATTTTTTACACTGATAAATCATTTAATAGAGCTTTAAAACTCAACAATAAATCACGTGGATGAAGCTCTCTTTTCAAAACCTATTATTATAGGATTTTTTTAATCATTACTTCTGCCGAAGCACTTTCTACGTAATCCTACGCGAAAATGAATCGTGAAAGGTGTGGTCTTTTCCGTTAATAGTTACCAACGGTAGTATAATTAGGCGGTGGATAGATAGGAAGTGTTACGAGTGACGATAATCATATGCATCCCATAATAACCGGAAGGTCATCATAAAAAGTTAAATGAGTGAAGCATTGCACACGATGCCAGAATCTCGTACACAACGGGGGGGGGGGACTATGCCATCAAAAGTGGGCCCTTGGTTTGTGGGAACCAGCCAGAAAGCTCTGGTGAAACCCACACAAAAGCAGAGTCACATGAACCCAAACTGCGAATGCAGACAGCCAGCCTATAGGCAGAGGATCAGCCACCCTGCTGCTCGGACAGCTGTATTTATGGGATTACAGTAGACAATCATTAGTCAGCCAAAGACAATTCAAGACAATTTGCAACTATGTACGACATTATATACACACTTTTAACACTTGACCTCTCTACATAGTCAGAAGCAGTACTGATGCATTTTTAGAATAATGCGGTTTTAGATGCATTTTTGTACAGTGCATGCTTGCAATAAAAAT